AGGCTGTTTAGATGGAATTAGGAGGATGAATTTCATATTTTCTAGGTATTTACACAAGCGTCCCATCTAGCTTGATGGAATTACACTTTTCTCCTCCTAGTTTATCAAGTTGTATACTTAGGGATGGCAAAGGGCGGGGCGGGTTGAGTTTAACCCGCAAAAATTTGTATCTATCCCACCCCGCACCGCATGACAAAATTTTATTTTTATTAATTAAAAATATAAATAAAATAGAGTATTAAAAATAACAAGAGTCTAAACTCAAAATTTATTTAAAGTTTTAAATATCAAAATTTAAATACAAATTATGTTTATATTATGTACTTCATAAAAAATTCTTAAAATTTCTAGGGAATCACTACATAGGTTGTAATCAATGGATATTGTCATATTTTTTCTATTTTATTATGATTATTGAAAAACAATTAGGTTAATATATCTATTTAGCTATTTATATTTTCACTTGAAATCAAACTTAATAATATTACAAAATAATTTTATATGTGGGTTTGATTAACAAGTAATAACAATAACATCATGTAATATTGTCTTGTCGATATTTATGATAATATTTTTAAATTACAATTTGATTTAAAAAATTATAAAAATATACTTTTAAAAAAAGTAGGTTGATTCGGCATTTTCCGTAGCCCACATACTTGTGGATTGGACTGACCGTTTTTTGCCCCATAAGAAAATGTGTCAGCCCGACTTGACAAATTTCAAAGTATGTATGGGTTAGTCCGAAGGGTTGGGTCAGCCCATATTGACAGCTCTAGAAGAGAGAAGAGGAAAACTCGGAGAAGCTTTTATCATGTTAAATTATTATTTTTAATCATAAATTTTATTGAGGGGTTTTTATAAAAAGAAGGGAAAATGTATAAGTACCCCCCCCCTCCCCCAATATATGTCCAAAATCCCAAAGACACACTTATACTATACTGAGGTCCTATTATCCCCCGAAGTTATTTTATAAATAATTTTTCTACCTTTTTTCAGCCTACGTGGCACTATCAACCAAATAGCTTGAAAAAATTGTCAACACGCACTAGGCCCAGAAGATAGTGCCACATAGACCGAAAAGGGGTAGAAAATTATTTATAAAATATGTTCGGGAGGAGGGGTAATAGGACCTTAGTATAGTATAAGTGCATCTCTGAGATTTCGAGCATAAGTTGGGGGTGGGGGGGGGGGGGTTACTTATGCATTTTCCCTAAAAAGAAAACTCAAAGTTGAGTTATTTTATTGATACAAAACAAAGATGATGACTTACAAAATAATTCCTCAAAGTTGAGTAACTTTATGAGATATTAATTCACTAATTCATATACATTCTGAAATAAAAAATGTTTCAAATTCTTTGATTTTTGCTTAAGAAAGGATAGATTCTACACTTCATCAAAATAAAAATTATAGGGAAAATGTACAAGTAACCCCTAGACTATGACCGAAATTCTAGAGACACACCTTATCTAAACTAACGTCCTATTACCTCCCTGAACCCATATTTTTGTAATTTTTTGCACCTTTTTGGCTTATGTGGCATCCAAATATCTCTCACGCGCCTCAATTGCGCGAAGTCACAGAGTGTCACGTAAGACAAAAGGTGTACAAAATTACAAAAAAAAAAAGTTCAGTGAGGGTAATAGGACCTTAATTTAATTAAGGTGTGTCTCTGAAATTTCGGTCATAGTCTAGGGGGTACTTGTGCCTAGGGGTGTTCGTGGTTCGATTTGAATCGGTTATTGGTTAAAACCAAAACCAAACCAACCTAATCATTTTTTTAAATATCTAAAACCAAACCAAATGAAAAAAATAACCGTCGATTTGGTTATTGATGGTTTGGTTCGGTTTTTATGGTTTTTTCAGTTTGAATATAATAAATTATTGAGGACATACATATCTTGATAGACACAAACACCTAGTACATGAATAATCCACTGAAAAACTATTATTGGTTCAATTAAGCAATTAAACAATACTAAAATTATCATTACACGAAAGTGATTCAATTAAGAGAAGGTGTAACTATCTTATAAAATGTATGGTAGGTAAAGACTAAAGTAATGGATTTTGATGGACTTGGACTTATGATTGTAATAGATTGGCTAAAATTTAAGTGTTAGGCTTGAGAAATTGGTAAAGTTAAAGACTTAAGTTACTTAAAATTTAACAAAATATTTATATTTTATTTATGAATGATATATAAATAATTATAAAATTTATATATATAATTTATCGGTTCGGTTTGGTTATTTTTACAGTTATTTTTTAGTAAAACCAAAACCAAACCAAATAGTATCATTTTTTCAAAATTTAAAACCAAATCAAACCAAATGTCGATTTTTTTAATCGGTTTGATTCGGATTGCAGTTCGATTTGGTTTTTTAACCATAACCATGAACTGCCCTACTTGTGCCTTATTCCTATTTTTTTTTTACTTTCTTCCAATATCTTTACTTCTCTTTTACTTGTCTCATTTTATCTCTCATTTAGATTTTAGCCTTCATTACCCATCTTATCTCTCATTGTGATTTTAATCTTTCATCCATTTGTTCCTTAATTTATAAATAGAAATTATATAATTATAACAAAATGGATTTCAGTAATCAGAATAGCCAATAACATACGACTTTAAATTTTATTTTTGAAAAATAGTTCAAATTTAATTTATTTTTTTCTTTACCCCGCTCAACCCCCGACTATCCCTACCCCGCTTCCCGCAAAAAAAATTAAAAGTTTATTTTTAAAAAAATAATTAAATTTTTGTTTTCTTTAGTTCACACCTACCTCAACCACCTAACACCATCCTCCTCCAAAAAAATAATTATTAAAAAGTTTATTTTTAAAATTATTTTTATTTTTTACCCTACCCATCCTCTACCATCACCCCTCTAAAAATAATGATTTAAAGTTTATTCAATTGTCGGTTGTCGAGGTTGGATCTTGATTCGGAAGTCGGGTCTCGATTCGAGTGTCTAAGTCAAAACCTGGATTGATGGATCATGTTCAAGTTCAGGTGTCGGGGTTAGGTCCTGGGTCGGATATCTAGTCTCAATTCGAATGTCAGGTCGAAAGTCGGGGTTAGATCTCAGGGTCGAATTTCAGATGTGTCATTGGGATTGTGTCCTAGTTTGCGTGTCGGGGTCATGTCCTAGATCGGTTATCGAGGTTGATTTACGGGTCAAAATTATTTTCTACTCTCTAGTAAGAAAAAAGATATTTGATTAAGAAAGTCTTGTGGGCTCAGCGCGTGTTGACAATTTTTTCAAGGATAGTGCCACGTAGGCCGAAAAGGGGTAGAAAATTATGTATAAAATAAGTTCGGGGGGTAATAGGACCTTAGTAAATGTTAGGTGTGTCTCAGGGATTTTGGGCATAGGCTGGGGGGTACTTATGCATTTTCCCAGAATAAAATGAAAAACTTATTATGTAAATCATTAATTACTTAATAGGTGTATCAATTTAAAAATAGACAAATCATCGTACTTGACATGAATTTGAATTGTGACATTGTCACTTTAACTTGTCAATTTAGGTCACATTGATTACATGCTTGATTATAACAGGAAGTCAACTACAATAATAATCCCACAAATTAGAGTATACAAATTTTACATCAATCTATCTCAGATAAAGAAATTGTTTCTAATAAATCCTCGATTCATAATTGCATAATCCAACAAAAAAAAAATTAATCCAACGAATTAAACTCTTTAGTATTTGACCAAATTATGACACAATGAAGCAACCAATTGTTATGTTTTCATCAAAATGAAATGATCAAAGCAAATAAATCCTACCAACACTGTTACACAAATTAAACCAAATATTCAACATTTATTGCTTGCAAGTTGTACATGGCGCTTAACAAAATTAAAATAAAATAAAATTTAGTGAACTAAAAAACGCGTTTCTTTCTTTGATGGTTTATTCGTTAAATTATTAGAGAGAAAAAAAAAGTCTTTCTTCCATGTGCATGCCTTATGTTACTCGTCCGTGATTGACGGTTCAAAATTTAAGAAAAAAGACTTTTTTTTTTCTTTTCTTTTCTCTTCATCTTGGGTAGTGGGTTCTGAGCCGGTGTTTAGTGTTAGAGTGGATAAAAGTCTCTCATTGATTGGAGAATGGACTGATAATCTCCTTATATGAACTTGAACAATCATTTCTTCATGAGCCAACTTTTGAGGTTGAGTAAGGCTTAAGTGTCATATCTTTATATGGTATCAGAGTCAAACTCATCTCCGTTTGAATTCTCGGTTCATGCTCCAGTTCGGCCTTGGGCATGAAGGGGGTTAAGAAGTATTTTATCCTTACTATAAAACTTTTCTGCATGAATCTGAATTTAGTCGAGTTCCAATTTGAATATCGGATACGGAATGGGAAACCAAAAAATAATAATTTGAATTTGTACAAGTAATATTTACCTTTTGATTTGGAATTACATAAAAATGTTATACGTCATTGAACTTATCAAAAATTGGTGGCAAGAGCTCGAAGCACAGGAAAGCAGGCTGCAGAGGCATTAATAGATTTTCTTAAAGCATATAATTACCTTTTCCAATTATAATTAATAAATAATATGTCTGTTGATCGCTACAAGTCTGTAACCACTGATAAAGTGAAAAGATTATAGAATGTGAGGGAAAAAGATTATATTATACTGGAATTTTACAACTAGTAGAAGGTTCTCTTAAAGCAAAACTCTAGGAACCAAAAAGAGGAAATGCCTAGACCTACTAATGATACATAGATTTTAGACGGGGAGGGAGACTACTTAAAAGCCTTAGTACAACAATAATTATGCCTCAGTCCCAAACAAGTCGGGAACGGCTATACAAATGGGGTTAAATTAGCAGAATGAGTAGCTTTCCAGTGCAGAGCAATGTAGGGGGTCCGGGAGGAGACAATACTGAGAGAGAACATCAGTAAAGAGTTATCCGGTACCTGTACTGATCAAATGTAACAAGTATTAAGTAAAATAGTCGAGATACGTGAATTTAGTGAGATGGAACATTAGAGCAAAGCTCAATGGATCCATAATCCAACAATTCTTCAATCATTTGTTCAATGTGATCATCTTCAAGTGGCTTGACAAATTGTGGTATGCCCTCAAGTACTTGATCTTCAACTTTCCTAATTACTCCCAAGTTAACTGTTTTAGCTTCCTCATGATGATGAGTCAATTGTACTGATGGCATTGGTACCAACATTTGTTGTTTCATTTTATAGGAATTAATAACACTTTCTTGAACATTGGTTGCATTTTTTGCTCTTTTTTGTTCTTGTGGTGAGGTTTTGGTCATTTGAAGTGAAGCCATGTAGCATTTGTGTAACTTGGCTGTTAATGTAGTTGAGAGAAGCTTAGAGGAAGATGTTTGTGGCATGTTTGGGTTGTAGGGGAAATTGGTTCTAGCTCTTGGACCACACATAAGCCTTGCTGCTTCATCATATGCTCTTGCTGCATCTTCTGCTGTCTCAAATGTGCCTAACCAAAGTCTTGTCTTCCTGAAATCAAAACAGAGACATTTAGTACTTATGTTATCTAAAATTCAATAACTTTGAGACAGAACTATCTGGGAGGATAAGGATATTGTAAAGGTCCAGTCCGCTGGTAATATTGTCCGCGTCACTAGTTTGTAAGGTCTGCTTACTAATATATCCAACATCTTTCTTATGTTTTGTCGATATAGAATTTCTTATCTTAAGTTGGGTTGTCGCAAATATGAATGATTTCAATTCACAGAAAGTCACCTGATCAGAACAGCTAAAAGAAAACTACATGTAACTAACTGTTCATGGAACTAGTCATTTAAAAGATAAAGGTAGACAACATGTCACATCAAGGTTAAGTTACACTAATAGCAGAGGCAGAGACATATACTCAGAATTTGAAGTTTATGGTTCCTGCATTGACCTTAAATTAATATACAAAAATAACTTTTAGTTTAACGTCAAGTAATTTCTTAATATGTATGTAAGTCTAGGCAACAACTACTGGTTTCATGACCCCATATGTTTTACTCTAGATCCGCCTCTAACGTGTCACTGTTTCCACGTATTTTTACAACAACTGAGGTGAACTTGACACATATATTTCATTATATTTATAAAGTTCAAGTCAAAAACAATGAGTGTGATCAGTGTGACGTACAATACGATATCTCAATAGAGAATATGACTTACAGTAATGGATGGCGAATTTCGGAGACCCAAGAACCCCAATGTCTCTGTCGAACTCCTCTATATCTTTGTTGTGCTCTAGCCATAATATTGACAATGTTACAATGTTGTTAATTGAAACTTCTTTTTTCTTTTTTTTTTTGTGTTTGCAAAAAGTGTTTGATGAAATGCCTGAATGAGATAGAAAAAGAAATTGGTTGAGGAAGGAGATTTAGTTAAGTGTGAAGATATGAGGGGTTTATGTAGTTGGGATTTTTTGAGAGAACATTCACAGTGAAATTGCCATTTTCCCCATCCAGGCTTTTTTTGTCTGTCAACCAAATTAAGCAAAAGGACCCTACAAAGGTTATTTTTTAATCATTAGTAGTTACCAGTTGGCTAATTGGAATTGACATAATTGATTAAAAAGAGCACTCACTAAGTTTTTGGTATCGGATCATAAGGTCTAATGTACACAGTTTTATCCTGCATTGACATAATTGGTCTCATATGACATCAACTTTATTAATTACGATAAGGCTCATGGGATTGACATGATTGATTAATGAATTAAAATGTGTGATAGCATCAATTTGGGTTTTCAAAAAGGGTGACCAGATGCAGTCCCCATGATTATTATAATACTTTTTGTTCCATAATATCTCAATCTTAATTAACCTATGATTGTAAAATTAAATTAAAATATATTAGAGGGAAAATAATTAAGGGACATCATGATTATTATTTTGTAACTTATATTGGACATTATTAGTGAGTCCAAGGTATGGACAAGACACACAGAATAATGATCTTAGACCATCATAATTATTAATTAGATTTGAATCATTTAACCAAATCTTGTTTACTTTTATTTGAGATCAATTATCTATATGGAATTATTAGCCCTTAAACGTAAGTCAGTACACAGCATTTTGAGCAAATGATTCTTTTTTTGTTAAATCATGGATAAAGTAAGGTAGATTAAAATAATCCATAAAGATGATTGAGTTGGTTTAATAAGTGAGTATCATATAAGAGAGGTCAGAGATTGATTCCCCCGACAATGCCTTCTGAATTCTCAATTGAACTCATCGTATTGAGCTATGTGATTTGTGAGCAATTGCATAAGAACGAATTTACCTGATCCACACCCAAAGTATAACAACAGTAAATTTCTCTGTGTTTACTACTTTACTATGTATTAGACATTTAGTACAAACTATTTATCTTATTTATGATCAGATTAGTTCAGAAAACAAGTGGGGTTAACTATATATTAGACATTTAGTCCAAACCATTTATCTGATTTATGATCTATTAACGGCTATCACACAAGTATGATATAATTAACCATGATATTAATTAATGCTTGAACTTAATGATTAGTTCAGATAGGACGATGTGAGATCAATGTGTGAGGCCATGATTCACAATTATATCAAAATAATAAGAGTTTGACTGAAAATAAAGTTGTAAAAAAAACATTTGGTGTTTAACTCTTTTCATCTATAATATTGTACAAATTGCATAAACTCCCTTCTTCCATTTTATGTGAGGGCAAAATAAAAATTTTAAAGTTAAATCATTTCTAAATATAAAAAAGTTTTAAGTTATATACATTGCGCACTTAAAAATATTTTATACTGTCAGCTCACTCCATTGATATCTAATTAGTTTTTCAAAATGTGAAGTTGTACATATATATCTAGTTTCTCTAAATTTCTCGTCATCTAGAGCAATTTACACCTATCGTAATAAGGACTAAAGCGGTATTGGCGCTCGTAGATTTAATGGAAAAAATACGCTTTATGCAATTGTATATTAAGCTACGTGACGTAAATATTTTTTTTTAAAATATATATTTTTTAAAATTCCCATTTAAAATTTCTAAATATGTTTTATATAAATTAAATGGGTTCAATTTAAAAAATTATTTTATAAAATAATATGGTGAATTTGAATGTGGAGGTTACCTCAATGCATGTTCCAAGTAATGAAGGTTTTTGTTTGGACATGATTTATTTAAATCCAAAAGCACATTGCTCCCATCCTTGGATTCTTGAATTGAAAGAAGAAAAAAGTGTCATATGCTAGGGTACCAGGATAAAGACACAAATTAATGTGCAATGTCTCATAATTTGCAATTACATGCTCTTGGGATTGGATGATAAAAGCGGATTCAAGATTTAAATTTTACGAGTTCAACTCTAAGATTTTAGCGACGAACTCATTTAGAGTTATATATAGGTTCATATTTATTTTATGTTGCAATTATCATATATCTTTATATGTAAATTCATACTTTGTATTAAAAGTATTGAGGTCAGATGAATCCGATATATATACTAGTACTCTACATGTTATACCCCACTATTTATAAATTGTTGGTATATACATGTGTAGTTGTTAATTATTTAAATGATTCTTTTAAATTGTTTTGGTCCTTGGGACACAACATGCTTTATTGTTTCTCCCACATGTGCTAACTTCCATTTTATGCTTATTTCAACCTTAGGCATTTCTATCTGTGGCGTTCTTTGGATGACATCAATTTAATTCTTGGATAATTTAAATACAAAAGAATCCTACATCAAACATGTAAATTAATACTTTTTTTTAAAAAAAAAACAAATCTTTTCACCAAAAATAATAACTTTGTGAGATAATAAGTAATAACTATGAGTTGAGTGAGGATTTGAAATCAATTCCAAGTGAATTCTAGTAGCACAAAAAATATATATCTCAAAGGGATAATAGTATATTTGGACTTTTGGCCCCAGCTAGTCATCAAATCCGTTATGCTACCACAAAGATTGTGGTGTAGTAGATAAAGTTATTTTTTCTTTAATTAGAAGTCTCAAATTTATGTCAGATACTACATGCCTTTTGGCTCCAAACTCATGAAAAAATCCGTAAAAAAAGTTTCCCCTAAATAAGACCTTACACGACGTAAATTCGAATTAATCGAGTTCCAATACATCAAACCAAATGAAGAAATCCATTATGATGTAGGCCCGTCGACTAAAGTCCTGCGGAATTAAATTGAGTCAAAACAAAGTTCGTGAATTTAGAATTGGGTCCCGCTACACTATATTATCATTAAACGCGTGAAAGTAGGACCCACTATTGTATACACATAACATGGTTAATGAAAAATATAGACCTAATATATAAATTAACTCAATCTCATCTAATATTTATGTCCTTTAATTTTGAACGTGGACAAATATATACTTAAATTTGTATAAAATTGAACAAGTAAACACATATATCCTACCTGACATGATACAAATCAGTTTGAGTGTATCTCACATGAATTGTCATGTAGAATATAATACATGTGCCTACTTATTCAATATTATACAAATTTAAATATTTACTTTTGCATTAATATCAATTGCTCCTACGAAATCAAGGTTGAAAAGATTGAAAAAAAAATCAGTAATTTACAACCACTAACGAAGGATTCCCCGAAAAGTTTTGATTACAAGTGGTGAAATTATAAATCTTAAAACAAAAAAAACCCTAGCGTACAACATGTTTGACCAATAAATTGTTTGGCCAAATTTGGGACGCTAAAAGTGCGTTGTGACCTTGTGTACATGAATGTACATATACACTTCCTCCGTTCCAAATTTTTTTTGTCTTGATTAAGAATATAAGGATCAAACTAATTATTTAGTATGAATTCGGATAAAGAATCTTTAAATTTTTGAAAAGAAAATTTACTTTTATTTAATGGTCCAAATAACAACTAATCTTTTTGGGAGGGAGGGAGTATTAGAAAAGAGCAACTTTCACATATAGCAAACACAAAATTCATATTTGTATGCTATAACAAACTTTGCATAATTGCGCTTCATAGCAAACATAAATATGTATATTTCGCTATACATATACAAAAGAAAGCAGTTGTATAATCTGCTTTGGTATACATATACAAAAAGATCAATTGTATAAAGTGAGAGAGGCGAGTGAGCGAGCGAGATCTAGGAGAGTGGCGAGTGAGATCTGAGAGAGTGGCGAGTGAGATCTGGGAGAGGGGAGAGAGGAGAACGAAAATATATGTATATATACAATTTTCACGCATTTTATACATTTGCGTTTTTGTATAAAGTGAGAGAGGGAAGTGAGAGAGCGAGATCTGGGAGAGTGGTGAGTGAGATCTAGGAGAGGGGAGAGAGGGGAACGAAAATATATGTATATATACAATTTTCTCTCGCTTTATACAAACACAAACGCATTTTATACAATTTGCAGTTTTTGTATAAAGTGAGAGAGGCAAGTGAGAGAGCGAGATCTGGGAGAGTGGCGAGCGAGATCTGGGAGAGGGGAGAGAGGGGAACGAAAATATATGTATTTATACAATTTTCTCTCGCTTTATACAAACACAAACGCACTTTATACACTTGCGTTTGTATAAAAAACGAGAGAGGCGAGGGAGAGAACGAGAGTGGCGAGCGAGATTCACCAGGAGAGAGGTTAAATAGCAATAGTTTGCTATGGGGTACAATTAAATCAAACTATATTTATAACATTTAATTTGAATTAATAGTTTGCTATTATATACAATTTTCCCATTAAAAAATATGTTCTGAACCTATGATTTCAAATATTTCAAAACCTTTAAATCTACTAGTATAAATATATATTGAACATGCTGCTTCATACCCCTATCTGTGTAACTTCGGACTTATGAACCAAAATATAGCAAAAATCAACACACTCATTCATTGATTAGTACTTATTCAAAGTAAATTCCCCAAAAAGCCTTTAATTTCGCAATGTTTTGTGTCTGAAAATTTCTTAATTAATTACTCTTGTTCTTTAACTGCGGTTAAAAAATTAGGAGAGTAAGAAAAAAAGAACATCTGTGATGTGACATGGTAAGTTGTGGTACTATTAGTCAAAGCCATAACTAACCAGTATAGTTAAAAAGTGCAAAAAGAGAATTAAACAGTGACTCTGACTCAAAGGTGAGAACTGTTATTTCACAGGTTACAAAGGTCGACGATGTTTGAGATTAGTTATGAGTGAATTTATGCATTTTTTTTATGTACATATTAATTATTTTAGTTTTTATCTTGTATACAATAATATCTTTTAACTTATATATGTATTAATTATGCAGATTTCTAAATTGTCAATCGAACGTAGTTCTTTCTATCCAACAAAAGGAATACCCACATGCAAGAATGTAACAGCGGTCACTTTCAATTTTTTCAAAGAATAGTATACTCGAAGTTATATAGTAAAAGAAATCAAGTGGCGTATCTAAAGCAAAATCTATTGGGTTTTAAAGGTGCGAACATGAAATGAAGGATTGTAACTAGGCTGAAGGGTTGTGATCTTTATGAAAGGTTGTGACCGTTTGAAAGGTTATGCCTTTTCCAAAGTGTTGTGACCTTTCTGAAAGGTTGTCTTCTTTCCAAAAGATTGTGACCTTTACCCTTTGTTGGCTATAAATAGAGAGACTTTCTCTCTTTTTTCTGCATCAACTTCTTCCCTTCTTTTGCATACATTTCTTACAAAACAATATTGATCGATCGTATCTGTGTGTGTGATTCGTTGCTGTCATTTTGAGTTCGTTGAAATTATCGAAGTTTGAGGTACCGCTACTTCTTTAATGGTTAATCTGTTTTATCTTGGGAGGATTTAATCTGCAGCCTCGGGTACTTGAGGGGATTATATTTCTTAAGGACACACAGTGGGTTCTGTGGACTCGGATAGTTCTTTGTGTTTTTCTTTTCATCTTTTATTATTTCTGGTTTGCTAACCTGAATACAGGAGATAACAAGCTTAAAAATTTTATTATTTATGGTATTTTTTGTGGTAAGGAAATTGCTTTTATTTTCTGTGCTCTTTTTGTTGAAAAAGAAGAAGAAGAAAAAGAGAATTATTTTATCATATGATAAAAGAGATTTGAGATGAATTAGTACTACTTTAATATATTCGAGTATATTTTCTGTAGTAAGTTTTCCTCAGATGGGTAAGATTATTTTTATTTTCTTCCCAAGTGAATTGAACCATTGCACCCCTTCAGTCTTCTTTTCAATAAGAAAAGTTATTTTGTGCATAAAGGTTAAGATATGCACTTTAGTTTTTTTTTTCTATATTCTTGGTTTTATATAACTATGAGAAGAAGTAAATGAACAGATGTTGTCTCCTAACGATATTTGAACATGAGTTTAGTTCTCGTTGAAATTCAATGTCTTCTGAGAAAAATTGGAATATGACGGAAACTGGGAAAGAAGGAAAAAATTAGCAAGAAAAGTGACTTGTATGGAATCATTGTTGACAAATAGAATATGTTTCAATGGGGGTAAATCAGGTTTTATCTTTATTTCCCTTGATTTTTTTTCTCTATCCTTTACAAATTATGAGATTTATTTCATAAATTTTAGGATAGATAGTCATTATGTGATGATCACAGAATATATATTTATTACTATTAATATGTATTCTGTTTAGAAGAGGAATTTTTTTTTTTGTAGTTTTCTACTCAATGTGAAATTTGATTGTGTTTGACTTTTGGAAACTAAAATCCTCTGATTTTTTTACTTCTTTGGTTTGAAGAATATAAGAACTTCACAAACAAATCAGATTGTGCATTGATTTGAAGAATATAGAAACTTCACCAATTTGTTAAATACTCTGTTTGAATGAATATTCTACTTGAAGAGTACAAAATCTTCGTCAGGAATATTAAGGCAAAATAATTTGAAAAAGATAAAATCTTCATCGTTAGCTAGAAACAGTGTTGTATTTGAGGTTTCTGGAGATTAAAACATTTTTGGTTTACTACTCTGTCTGAATGTGAAACTGATTCGAAGAATATAAAAACTTCATTAGAATTCAAGGTTCATTCGATTACCGATTAGAAGAATATAAAAACTTCATCGTTAAACTAGAAACAAGTTGTATAAAGATTGAATCTTTATTGTTAGTATTCTAAATACTAAGTGGTCTGTCTAATTGTGACAGAAAGGGGAAAAAAACACTAGTGACATAAAATTAGTGATTTTGTGTCTGCAATGGGTGTTTATATGGATTAAATCTCCAAAAGAAGGTTTCGTGTTGCCAATGTGTATTTTGATGGTATACAATATGAAAGCATGGAAAAAAATATGTGGAAAATAATTTCAAATACTTGAAAAATATTTTTGAGAACATATTTAAATTGTGAGGGGTTCTTTACTTGTGATAAAGATAAAATTAGACTTACTATCTAATTTAAATTTGAAAGTACAAGATATGAAATTTAATGAAATTCTTGTATTATGTTAGACCCACAAAATTCTTGGAGTATATTTGATATTATGGTCGTTGAGTCTCTCTTTACTAGTATATGATATGACTAGTATAAAATCACAAAATTATATTATTCGTTCAAAAGAATTGTATTCTTTGATGAAAAAGTTTCACTTAAAATATTGTGATTTTTCGTGAAAAGATATGTCTATTAAAATATATATATTTTTGTAAAGACATGAACAGTGGTGAAAAGTGATATGTTCTGTTTGTGTTGTAAAACAAACATTTTGGTCATATTGCCCATATTGGACCGATGAGACTATGATCATGGGTAATTCTATAACAAATTGAATGTTATGGAAAGGTCCTTCTGAAAATGACATATGACAAGGTGTTGACTCTAAAACAATGTCTGTATTTGAGAAAGTTATAAAAAGTAAAGAACAAAATATTTGTGGGAAAAGGTTACCTCACAGAAGGTCTTTTTAAACTTAGTATTTTTGTTTGTTCTTACTTGCTTGAATCAAATTGTTTGTGACATAAATGTTTAGGACAAATCATTGTGGCGGTAACTCTACCTAGAAGACTGGAGATCCCAAGATCAAGGTTCAAGGAGATCAAACAAAGTCATTGATGATGGTTCAACATTGTCAAAATATTTTTTTTATGGTCCATTAATTCTCATGATAAGACAATGTTTAGTAACAAGGATAAAGACATAGGACTTTTTAATGGTTTCTAAGTTTGATACAAGGTATATCAAATGGTGTATCTACGGGATAACACATTTAGAAATCACCTATGTAAGTGTGAAGTGTAAGCCGCTTCAAGGAGAATCTGGTAAGGCCAGGTCTCTACGCACTTATAAACCAAGTCGTATTCATGGATGAAACGAACAAAACAATGAGAACCAAAAACTGTTGAAGGGTTGATTGTGTGACTTATGTTGTCTAGGTATACACCAAAGCTCAATGGTTCAAAGATATCAAATCAACCGATTGATCGAGTATATCCGATATATGTTCACTATGGAAAGTTCAAAGGGAACCCCACTTATCCAGATGCAATCAATCCTTACTTACGAATCACACAGTTTTTCATGCATATGTTTTAACAATAGTCATTCCCTATTCATGTGGGGGATTGTTGGGTTTTAAAGGTGTGAACAGGAAATGACGGGTTGTGACTAGGCCGAAGAGTTGTGACATTTATGAAAGGTTGTGTCCTTTCTAAAGGGTTGTGACCGTTTGAAAGGTTGTACATTTTCCAAAGTGTTGTGACCTTTCTGAAAGGTTGTCTTCTTTCCAAAGGGTTGTGACCTTTACCCTTTGTTGGCCATAAATAGAGAGACTTTCTCTCATTTTTCTGCATCGAATTCTTCCCTTCTTTTGCATACATTTCTTACAAAACAATATCGATTGATCGTGTCTGTGTGTGTGATTCGTTGCTGTCATTTTGAGTTCGTTGAAATTATCGAAGTTTGAGGTACCGCTACTTCTTTAATGGTTAATCCGTTTTATCTTGAGAGGAATTAATCTGCAACCTCAGGTACTTGAGGGGATTAAATTTCTTAAGGACACATAGTGGGTTCTGTGGACTCGGATAGTTCTTTGTGTTTTTCTTTTCATCTTTTATTATTTCTGATTTGCTAATCTGAATATAGGAGATAACAAAATCTACAAAGGTTCACAGGAACAAATAAATTTTTAAATGAAGGTAGAAGAAAGTCATGGCAGCTATAAGCTATTAAGAAACTGTGTCATGCTTATGTTGAATTAGGTATTTTCTTTGTCCTTTAAAGCCTACATCATTGGACATAATGAAATGTATTTTCCGTTTAAAATGACCTCAGAATCACTTTTTTCTTGTCAAATTTTTCTCTCCCCCACATTTAGAAAATTTTAAATCAATATCACTGTTTTTAAAGCAATGTTTTGGTGAGAAATGGGTTTAAATTATTTAACACTAGGAGTTAACAGAAACTAAGTACTCTAGAAAAGGTTACTTTCTTCACTGAGCTAACTGATAGAGAAGAAAAGGCCCATCCCAAATTAGGCAACAATTGTCATGACTCATGAGTCAAAATTTTCACAAAGGGCACCATCACAAGCCTACCATCCAAGCCTGGATCAAACCCTCAGATGATATCTCTGAATACGCGTGTAACTAGAGAACGCAGCATAGAGTATGGACCAAAGCTAAAGCAAGAAGGGTGTTAACAGAAAAGGAGGAGCTCAAACCATAAAAACAAAAGATCCAACAATCACTATGGAGATTTATCAAGTAATTATTGTAATGCCCATTTATTTTATCTAGACATGTCTAATGTGTGGTAAAACCAACAGATGCAAAAGCAGCAAGACTTCTTAGGCAAGAGCATCTCAAATTGTTGTTTATTGATACATGTGGATAGCACGATAAAACTAGATGTGGGAAGGGGCTTTAGACGGCATACATGTTTTGACCCTCCACAATCTCACCCTCCCGCGTTCTTTCTACATATGGAATCTTTACTCAGATACAACAGTTTGGAGAGGAAGTGAGCTCTCAACCTCCTTTGCTTCAGCATTTCTTTCAGCGACAATTTTAGACATCCCAAACATCTGAAGGCATAACCACAGCTGTTAAGAATAAATCAGAATGCCTTATTAAGAAAGGAATAATCCATAATGCTATTTTGATTTGGAACTAACCTTATTGATGGTCTTCTTAAAGCAAGATGTGTGTTCATCCATTGAGGCATGTATAAACTCATCAATATGATCCTTCACATCCTCCAAAAATGTGGCACTTTCAGACTTCTTTTTTCGGCATGATGATGCAACAGCAGGTGACGTTTGCTCAAGCGGACTCTTCTCAGTCGACATGTTCTGCTTATGTTATAAATAGTGAGAAATACCATGATATAAACAGCTAAGTTGGGTGCAGAACTGTGCCAGAAGGCTGAAGTAATGTTTTAGTAGCTGTCCACTTGCTAAACAAGGCTACCGTCAAAGTGTTTTAGAGCATTAACTATGTCCCACTTTCAAGAGAAGGAGAAAATCTAGATAAAAACTAAGCAGGGTATGTCTTAAAATATCAGCTAGGTTAGGCTATGCTCGAAGTGTTATAGTACATTAATTATGTTCCTCTTCCAAGAGAAGGAGCAAGTCTAGATAAAAACTTAGCAGAGTATGTCTAAAAAATATTAGCTAGGTTAGAATGAGGTACATTAGAATTATTATTTTTAAAGGCAGAAGAAAAAAGAAGATAAGTTCCACGAATACTCCGATTTGAAATAATGGTGCAGTCAATGTAATATGTAAATGATTAACTTATTCTATCAAAATCAATTGTTGTTCCCAGTAAACTTATTAATGGTGACAATACGGATGAAGTAGCAGAAAGGATGTTAAAATCTCACTGGAACGGATATTGCATTGATAGGATACAAGAAGCAGTATAGGGAAATCGTCCCCGTCCGTCTTATGTGGTTTACTGAATGCACACCCATTTAAAAAAGTTAAACACCAAAGATATAGTTTGGGTAGGTGGTGAGGGGTGGACAAGGAAGTCGAAGTTGAGCGCATTTGGTGCAACAAAGCCTATCTACAAATCAAACAGCCTAAAGAGATTCAACCTAGATAATTTGAAATGTCTTCTGTTTGTAGTACTTGTGCATCCACAACAAATACCTGTTTCTCATTAGTCAGCACGCTAGAAAGCATAAACTTGCTGGAAGCTGAATATGTTGTCGCACAAGCTATTTGGCAAATAGACCATTACATTCTACCGCCATTTATTTCTACGTCAACAGAAGAGTTGCTTCAAATACCTTTTCCTATTTGTCAGCACACTAAAAAAGCAGCATTAACTTGCTGGAAGATGTACATGTTGTCGCAAGCTACTTGGCAAATGGACCATTACATTCTACCACCAATTATTTCTAAGTCAAGAGAAGTGTTGTTTCAAATACCTTTTCCTATTTGTCAGCACACTAAAAAAGCAGCATTAACTTGCTGGAAGATGTACATGTTGTCGCAAGCTACTTGGCAAATGGACCATTACATTCTACCACCATTTATTTCTAAGTCAAGAGAAGCGTTGTTTCAAATACCTTTTCCTATTTGTCAGCACACTAAAAAAGCAGCATTAACTTGCTGGAAGCTGAACATGTTGTCGCAAACTATTTTCAAATTATCAAATGAACCATTACATTCTATGTCTAGAGAAGAGTTGTTTCGGAGAAAGGCCTTCCTCGGATTAGTAGTTGTCAATGTATTTAGGTAGCCGTTCAAAATTTCAGAATATTTTTTCTAAAAGAAAGGAAAAGGAGATCTAAGCGGAATTCTTTCGATAAGGCTATAAGCTACCAGATGGAAATCACAGAGAACTTTCTTCAAACACATTACATGCATTAGAGTTATCAACATAAAAGTAATCCAAAACAAACACATAAGAGTTATCAATATATAATCACTCAATTCTAAACACATAACACTCGATCGTAAACAGATAATGAGTTATAATCAACATAGAATCACTAAATTGTAAACTACAAAAGCATCAATCAAAAAAAAAAAAAAACACGAACATATAAATAGCAACATTCAATTCCGCATTTTCTAACTATACGTTCCATTTCATAAAAAACGAAGCACCTAAAATGCGATTAACAAAGATAAAGCTGGTATCAACCTTCCCTTAGGTTAACCGGAAGCAACAAACGGAATAATAATGGGAACAAGGGTAAGAAAAAGAGGATTCTGGTTACCTGAGCTGAAGAAATCAGAGAGACAACCGGAAAGTCAATTACTACAACAAAAGATAGTAAAAGATTTAGTTCATCTTTAGCGCCTAATTTTGAGTTATTTATTGAATTAACAATACATACACGTACTTCACTGAGGTTCACAAGTTTTTGTGCCAGAGTTTGTTTTGCCGTAGTAAATTTTTATGTCATTTTAAATTAAAAGATTTGAATTATTTTTTTATTTATTTTGTAAGGGATTATAAAAGATTATTTTCATCGTGATGTAGGAGATATGACACTTGTAAATATGTTCTCTCAAATGCTCAAGTCAAATCTTGCCAAAAAAATTACCATTGTAGGTCGGTTGGTAGCCTTATAAGAAACAAATTATTCATATATTAATTTTTGTATGACTTGTACCGTTTGATAGATATAAAGAAAATAACGTATTCATGTATAAAATTAATACAACATTTGATTGACAAAGTTCAAAACTAATTAATATATGCATAAGTTATGAATGAATCTATATATTATTTTATACAAGATAGACAGAGATGAAATAACTTATACATGGATAACTAATACATGCATAAAATAATAATAGTACATAGATTCACTCATAATTAATTGGAAGAATTGTATGAAATAACAAACTATTAATTCAAATTAAATGTTATAGTCATAATTTCTTTTATTTGTAATTCACATCAAACATTTCATATTTTTTTGCCATCTCATTTGTATACCGAAATATACAAATGCATGACCTATTTGTATACCGAAATATACAAATGAAGGACCCATTTGTATACCGAAATATACAAATAGACCTAAATACATATATTTTTATGTATATGTATACCAAAATATACAGATTAATAGCCATAACAAACATAAAGTTTGTTATGAAGCGCAATTATACAAACTATAGTTATAACATACCAATATGGTTTTTATATTTGCTAAACCTAAAATTTACTCTTAATTAATTTCTACATTACTAATATCTGCATAACTCTAACCGATTACCAACCGACCATAGTGCATCTTTCCATCCTTATGAAACTTATATACTAAAACCAAATCTCTATATTTTTACTCCATAACGTTGCAATTTTAATAGTATTGTCACAACATATTGAAAACGAATTCGCCGAGAAAGTCACTATTGACCACGCGAGGTTGAATCTTTCCTAAACACAACAATAACAATATACTCAGTGTAATCTTAAGAGTAGAATGGTAGTGTGTGCGCAATCCTACACCTATCTAATATGAGTAGAGAGATTTTTTCTGATGTACCCTCGACTCAAGTCAGATATAAGGTAAAATATAACATCAATTTGATAAATCAAAGATAATGATTGATCTAATAGTTTACCAACATAGTATAAGGTTATGCAATGAAACAACAAACTCTAGTGGAGTCTTAAGTGTTCATAAGAAGTCTTTAAACAAAACATGAATAAGCATCTTGAAAACAATTCAAATATGTTTTTGAGAACTGAGAAGTCATATGTTGTGCCTGCAAATTCCTAGTTCTAGAATTAAACTTACACTATACACACACTCAGAATTTCTCAGTAACTGATCTTATTTCCTTTAAAATGTATGAAACAACATGACAATAAATTTGAAATATTTAGAAAAAAGTACTCTACCATAAAAGCTAGCAATATTTGCAAGTGGTTAACATTAGTCTCCACCTGATCTTCATGTTATCATCAATAGCATGGAAAATGGAACTCAAACAGGTCACCTTCTTCAATCTATCTTCACGGAAGAGAAGAGACGATGCACAAAGAAAAAAGACGTCAAGAACCCTATAGCACCAGTTGCTAGCATAACAGCAAGCGCCATTAAAAGCGAGTAGCCTAAGTATAGCACAGCCGAAACAGGTCCACTGAGGCTCTTGAGATCGAAAACAAGATAGTTGACGGAGTAGAAGAATATGTAGATTGCAACTGAGCCAGACGCGAAGAATGATTTCCACCACCATCTCCAATCTTCCATACAAAGATGCATATAAGTCAGGACCAAAGACACTTCAGCACAAACAACCACTAGCAGTATCAATACTACCAACAGAAAACCGAAAACATAGTAAACACGTCCGAGCCATATGCTAGACATGATGAAAAAGAGTTCAATAAACAGAGTTCCAAATGGCAGAGTTCCTGCTCCAATTACCAACACCCAAGTAGGAAATCTGTTTGATGGGATTTCACGAGGAATTTGATTGCTACGACAAGGGTACTCAAGGTGTGGAGCCTTTGTACCGATGAATCCACCTATGAGTGTAAGAGGCATGGAAATGCAAAACCACAACAACAACAGAACAATGTAAGTAGTGAAAGGAATTGCACCAGTGCTATGACTTCCCCATAAGAGGAAATTCAGAACAGTTAGTATAAGAAATGCAATTCCAGGACCAAAACAAGAAACTCTCCACGAAATCGAAAGCCATCCATTGGTATTACCAGCATTCAGTGTTTTCATTAGCCAAACAGCAACATAGCCAGCAATAATACCTAAGAACATGTAGAACAAAAGCATGCCAGTAATAAGTGTGCCTCGAGAGGCTGGAGACATAAATCCAAGAGCCGCGAATAATATTGTCACGACTGCCATTCCTAAAATACGACATCCATCAGCAACCATCATACTGAGGAGTTCTGCATTCTCCGGAACCCTGAAGACATCACCAACAACAAGTTTCCATCCTGATAACTCCTCATTTATTTGAGCTTGAGCCTCTTTGTCAAGCTCCTCGTAACGAGCTAGATCTCTTCGAATTGTCCTCAAGAAAATAATGAGAACTATCCCTGCTAAGAATGTAATAACCATCATGGAATTAAGAATCGAAAACCAATGAACTTTTGCACCTTCCATCTTCAAATATGCATCCCATCTTGATGGCCACTTAATGTCACTCTCCACAAAATTGACCTCATAACTATATACCAATGGCTTGCCCTCTTGGATCACCCCGGCTACAGTAGCTGGTTCACATTTAATAGGTGCAGTATACTTATCGTATCGTTTTAGATTCTTAAGCAAATCTATATTATGCTGAAAACTACAGGGGACAACTTCAAATCCAACAACCATGTAAGCCGGTGTGTCTATAACAGACTTATCATCCGTTGTAATTAACTCAACGCCATCTCCAGCCCCAATCACACCAGGCATAGTATTAGTCTTCTCATACTTATGAACCAACACAGTAAATTTCAAATGGTTGAACACATAATACACATCCTTAACCTTAATACCAACCGGATAACCCGTCCACCTAAGAAAGAATCCATCTTTGTTCATATACCGAATAGCAGGAAGATTATCAAGATTCAGATTAACTTGATACATCTCATCGATCCGTTCTTTCAAAACTTTGGATTCATCAACTGATAATGCATTTGTTTGACACAAAAACAACTCACTTTCGTTTACGTGCATTTTAAATCTATAAGGAGAGTTCTCAATTCTATCTCCCATAAGAAGCTCACCTAAGTTTTCAGCACTGTCTTTGACACCTTCTAAAGGTTTACAAAAAGGTAAACTGTAATATCCATAAGGTAATTCTGTATCAATTGAGGTCAAGGAATTTACTTTGACAGATAATTGATCACCTACATAATATTTGTGTGGGAAACTACCAGGTAGATAAAATCCACTAGCAAATTCAAGAAAAAAGGTACACAACAATAGACACTTCTTTAATTTATCCATCGATCGCCAAGTTTCGGATGAATTCTTAGAGATCTGAAAGATGAAAATGATTTAATTGAACCAAAAAGAAAACAGAAGATCTTGAAGAAATTTTTTCTTTTTTGATTGAAAACAATGCATGAAAGCATAAAATGTGTTAGATTCAATATACATGCATGGCACAATTGGATTTGGTCTATTTTGTTAGTGAATGATGAGAGAAAGGTGGGAATTTGTAACTAACTATTTATATGTCTGTGTTGTATGTTGGATTTGGGTCTATTTAGAGTTATGTCTTTTCAGCATATGCTAAATTTTATATATTCGAGGATTGTTTTTTTTATTTATATTGACTATGACGATCGGGCTAATCTGCACTCGCCTTTACTAATTTCATAGTGTATATTTGTTATTTCCCACTAGCTAAGTATTGAGAATTTTACTACCAAACTTGTTCATGGTAAAAGAAATGAGATCATAATTTTTTTTATCTTCGTTAAAATTTAAATCTAAATTTTTTCTCTAACTTCATTAACCATCAAACACACCTTTGGATGCATATACTACCAAAAAAAATGTTTTACAAGTTGAAAAATAATTGTTTTGATTGTATAGAAACACTACTTAATTAGTTGATTAGAATATTGTTCAAAGTTATTTTATTTATTTTTCAATTTTTTTGATATTCAAGTAAATTGAAGTTTAAATAATATTTTAAAATATTCAGTTTAATACAAGAGAATTATATAATCCTCGTGATTCAATTTGTTTATGTGATTTTAATTTGACACGAGATTTAAAAAATAAAGATAAACCTTTGAAATGTTAAAATTTAAAAAATCAATTAATTTGGTCTATTTCAATTTTTAAAAAAAGTCACAAAAAGAATTAAACCAATTTCTCAATTGTTGGGATTAAAAACCAATACTCCGTCCTATGCTTAACATCTGATCTAAAACCGCTTCGCCGGAGCTGCCAATCTCCACTTTCCACCTTCTCCGGCGATCATTTCCCGGCAGAGTTCGAAATGGAACCCGACGTGAGCATCGAAACAAGCTGTATGATCCGAGTAGCAGTTCTACCAATCGGATCTATAGCAATCCCTTTATTCCGCGACTACACTTCTATGCTAGTTCGTCACTACACAGTATCATTATCTTCCATCAGTTCATTCTACACAGAACATCAAAAATCTCCTTTCGCTCATCAACCTTGGGATTCCGGTAGCCTCCGGTTCAAATACATGGTCGGTGGTTCACCGGCTAGTCCTTGGGAAGATTTCCAATCCAATCGGAAAATTTTTGCCGTTATAGGCATTTGTCACTGTCCTTCTTCCCCTGATCTGCATTCTGTCATGGATCAGTTTGTGACCGCATGTAAGAGTTACTCGTCTTCAGTTGTTCAGCGTTGCTTCGCATTTTGCCCCGGTGACTCTCAGGTTCTAGTTCTGTTTGTCTTCTTCGATTGTTGGAACTGTTTGATACTATTTGATACATGTAACTGAGTAGGACCTAGCATATAAGCAGCTTATACCAACATAAATTAAACTTGGATATATCTTTATGTATCTAGAATAATTTGAAGAAAAGACTGTCTGGGAAAGATTTAATATTTGTAACGATAGGAACTGAATGCCTGTGCTATTTTTAAAAAAAAATTGTTATAAGGATGAAATCCACTTGTAGAATTAAGGTTTTGGGGATATTGAATTTAGAATTGTCACATCTGCTTTAGGACTTGGAGGATCATAAACTAGCAAGGAATTTACTCCAATTTTGCAGCAAATCATAGATACTTTATTGTTTTCACTTCTTTCTCAGTCAATTAATCAACTATGCCTCAAGTCTAAATCAATTGTGGTCAGGTATATGATTTTTTTATATTCATTCAGTTGTTTGACACTGCTTTGTATTTTTCCTGGCTATTCTTAGGTTTGAATTTTGTTTGTGTTCTTTGTTGTATAATTGATGGTTGGAAATGTTCTATTGCTGGTAGAGATTGGACTTGAATAGAGGAAATGGATATGGTCATTCAAAAAAAAAAGTCATACAGAGATTCATGTAACAACTCCAACTTAGTTGAATCCAACTTATTTGGGATTGAGACATAGCTGATTAATTGGTTACTAGATATTGGACATGTGAATTTCTGCAATATATATAAAATTGACTTGCAGAAAATTTGATCGAATTGAAAGTAATTAAATATGCTTTAGGGCTTTGAGGATCATAAGCTAGCAAACCATCTACTCCTTTGTGCAGAAACTACAGATACTTCAGTCTTGTCCTCTTTGTACCCCAAAAAGAGAAAAAGAAAAAAGAAACAGAAGTTATGTCAGTGCATACAATATGACTAGACTCTATTGTTTTATAAATCAATGAATCTTTCAGTTGCTCCACTGTTCCAAACTAATTGGGATAAGCGATCCGATATGTACACTCTATGTACTTGTAACTCTATTCAGGCCTATTTTTATTTGGATACACAGTAATATGTTTTCAAAGATAATTTAAGGATTATTGGAAATCAAATGTTCTCTAAGTCTCACTCTTACCCATACTCTCAACACACACTCACTAACAAACTGAAAAGATTCTTGGCGGATATGAATAGATAAGTATATATATGTGTGTCTGTGTGTTTGTGTGAGCACTCTTTTAAAGGATAGGCTTTTGAAAGCTCATATAACTTAATTTTTCATTATTTTCTTTTTGAATAATTAAATGCAGTGCTTCAGATACTTCTCTGGATGCATTCTTGAATGGATAATCAGTTTGCGTACTGTTAAGTTTGTGATCAAAAGCTCCGGACTGTCGGAGTGTCCTTGTTTTCAAGTTTGCTCTTTTCATGCATGACATGCCTAAAATGCATTTTTTATTGTGCAGCTAGAGGATGAAAGCTTCAAAGGGAGCAACTTAATTTTGTTTCCCCCAGCTGATCGTCAAACTCAAGAATTCCACTTGCAAACTATGATGCAAGATATTGCTGCCTCGTTGTTGATGAAATTTGAGAAATCAGTTCTTCAAGCAGAGTCTGGTGGAACTATTCTCAAGACACCTTTAGATTCCCAAGCGAGTCTTAGCTCAGAGGAGGTTCATATTTTAGGTGTTTTAAGGATTTATTTCTATAGTTATCTTGTTTAGTTTCTTGGTAGGATTTCATTACCATTTAAATTATTAACTTCTTGATTGCATTGGAGAACCTTATAGGTCATCAAGGCTAAAAAACGAAGATTGGGGCGTGCACAAAAAACTATCGGGGATTACTGTCTGTTGGCAGGGTCACCTGTTGATGCTAATGCCCATTATACAACTTCATTGGAGCTTGCTAGATTGACTGGAGACTTCTTTTGGTATGCTGGGGCAATGGAAGGCAGTGTTTGTGCACTGTTGGTGAGTATGAACATACTCTCAGTGATGTCAGTGCATCTTATTAGAAATTTAGTTCATAATCCACGAGAAGTCATTGCTTGACAAACATCTAATATAATCTGTACATCTTAGACTACATTTTGGAGTTGGAAACCATATTTGATACCTACACACCCACATATACTTCTTGATTTATTTTATCCACACGTGTTTGTCTACCAATGGGGAATGCTGTTTATCAGCTAAACATCTTCCAGAGCAAATCCCCAATTTTCTGTTCGTTCTTGTTCCTTTTTCCTTCTTCTTGGGGTGAGAAGAGGGAATTTTTTCTGGTATGGGGTGTAATTTATTAAATCAACGTATTCTCCAGTTTTGCTCGGTATTTTAAAATTCTGTTACCTGCTTGAGCCTGCATTCATGTAAGAACATGCATCTTTGTTTTCAAGGGGTTAAAAAAGAAAGGTATCATATCTGTCTTGTACTTTTTGTGTTATGGACCCTCTCAATCTTTCATAGTATTACTGTTTGCATGTAATGATCACAGTGCCTTTTTATCTACAGAGATGATTACCAATGATACTGTCTAAGAAAGGGACAGAAATTTCTTGTATGAATTTGAGAGGACACCATTAAGAGGGGGATTATTCTGTATATTCAAACCATGTTTTAGTCCTCACATCAAATTTAATTCTATAGTCAATCAGGTGTTGTAATTGAAATGACAACAATCAGTTAGGTTTATTGATATTGTTGGCTGGATATAGCTCCTGATAAGTATTGCAAACATACATCTGTTTGCAACTGAAGGCAATCAGTGTGTTCATGGATGAATATTGACCATATGTGTTTGTTTTATTTTGGATGTTTTGGGGTGGTGGAGCATATCTTTCAAATGAGACTAGAAAACATGGTTGCTAAGGTCCTGAGGAAGGATGAGGGAACATTGAGACTAGTAAAGGTATGGGATGCTCAAATTGTTCCAAGGTTTATGTGTTCTAACCTGTTCTGTGTTTCCTGTTGACAATCTATGGATGCCTCTATTACCTTTGATACAAACTAAAGTGGCAGGCACATAAAACTTGAATTAGAAGGAATGCTAACTTTTTGTGAAAAATGATGCAATATTGCAGATGTCAAAACCTCGAAATAGTAATACTTATTAAAGAGTTGAGTGCATTGTATATTGTGTTGCCATTTTGGCTCTTTCTTCTCAAGAGCTTATTCATTCTTAAAGTCACAAGTTCTTAGTTGTATATCCTTACTTGAATCTCATGGTTACTATTTTGATGATTAGATAGATCAAATGGGTCAGAGGGATCAAGTTCTAGATGATGAGATTAAAGACCGTTACAATAGTGTCATTTTGCATTACAGAAAGTCATTTATCCAAGACAATGCTCAAAGGTATATGTCTGTCTTTTAATCTTTCTATAGATGTAGTTACAACTTACATAAGCACCTTTATCATGATTTTTTTCTTATAATGATTGGGTATATAATTTGTATTTGCCATCCCTTTCTTTCTGATTCGCGCACAAGAGTTTGAGAGGGAAAACACTATCTTCTTTTTTCCGATGAAGTAAGTGATATCATTAAAAATGCATCAAGAAGATGCAGTAGTTACAAGATATGACATTGAAGCTTTCAAAAAATCTGGCACTTATACAAAAACTGTCTATGACAGAGTGAGGGAACTAATGAAGTCTAATAGTTGATCTGAACTATTAACTGGGAACAAACTGGACCAGCGATGTAACCCCAGGGAGAATAAAAGTGGACTTCAAATTATATTTCCATCTTAATTTTAGTAGTGTCACAGGATCCCTTGATAATGGATAAGTTGTAATCATTATGTTAGGAACCTGCAAGTCCTATGAAAGTAAAGTAAAAGGACTAAGTTGCTTATTTTGGTGGTGCAGCTATTCAGAAGTTCTTAATTTTAGTTTTGTTCGTAAAATGACTCAGTTCCCAAACCCTATTTTTGGTAGTTTAGCAGATCACAGAACAATTTAGTCACTTGTTTAGAAGTCTAGAACTCCATGATGCATGGCAAGTTACTGTGAAATCTATCATAATTTGCATGTTGAACAGCTTTGACAGATCGGTAGATGAACTAATAGTTGGAGGCTGACTCAGATAAACTTTTATGACTGAATGTGTGAGGAAAACTATGTTGTGTGGGGCAAATTACAAGAACTGTCCATAGGTTGTGAGGGATTGCCACCTTTCTATATTGAAGAAAAGCTTGAATTGCAAGCTTTTTTGTCAAAAACAAACAAGCAAAACAGTTAGCATGACATAAAACTAGTGATATGGATCTTTATCTTATGACCAAACTGTTTAACCATTAAAATTGTTCATATATAACAAAGAGCCATTGCTATGCCTTTTCTCCGTATGGCTCAGTTGTGGACTGTTGATTGAGATAATCCTCATTTTAGTAGGGGTTCAAAATGGATTTATTCTTCTTATCTTCTTTGTGGTATAAACTAGATGATTTCCCTTTTCAACTAGCGATAGGTCTATATTGCTTAATCTAAATTTCTGATTATTTTCTTATTCAGCATATATAACTGTTAATATTGTTTTTGGTGCAGAGTTTCTCCTCTAAGTTTTGAGCTCGAGGCTACTCTCAAATTAGCACGATACCTCTGCAGGTACTCTTAATAAAGATCAAATATAATTCTGGAATGATCTTCGTAACCAGTTTAGTTATGTTCTTTTCTTGATAAAAACCAGTTTAATAATGACTTGCAGCTATATTCTCAAAAAATAATGACTTGCAGCTACACTGTAAACTTGCTGTGTTCTCTCTGTTCTTTCCTTTTGACGTACTTATATGTTAATTGAGATCCTTTTGGGGAAGATATGTTTGTTGAGGTTTAACTTCTGAATGATGCCCAATTTATAAATTGTGAGATATGACACAAACTTGAAATTACCACACAAAAAAGAGCATGTTCGTATTCGAATAATCATAAGTAGCTCTTTTTGAGCATTAGTACTTGTCATAGAAAATCTGAAATTGCTTTGATATCAGTCAACTCGACTCAGGCCAAAATACTGCAACTGGGGTCACTTGCTAGCTTTAATGCGGTTCTTATCATTAGTTCACCTGGACTTTGCACTGTATATATTTGTTCATGAACCGAATAATTTGGTGGGATTTAATTAAGTATAGAGGTATGATGCTGTGCTTATGATTTACTGGCTACAGACTACGACCACGGCCCTCCAATAACTAGGTGGAGTGGGGTGAAGAGGAGAAGGTTTGATGGAGAGTGAAAAAGAAGTGAACTAAGAAATTTCTATATTCCAATTTTTTTTTTAAATGTTAAAAAAATTAAACTAACAAATTTCCACATTTAGCAAACAGCAGATTTTGTTTCCCTCGAACTTGCTTCTGTTTGTGATTAATCTAGGTTACTCATTAAGTCTAAGCTACAGAAATATGTTCCTCAACAGTTATGAACTTCAGTTTTTGTAGAAAATGAGAACCAATAAAACTGATGATGTATCTGAATTCAAATCACATCGCCTTTACAAAAAATGTTCAAATCAATGGTATAAACAAAAAATAAAATAAATATTAGTACCTAAATCTGCAACATACAAGTAGCTTCATCTCTTCAGACTAAAATAATGCCTTCTGTATATCTTTTGCTTATCTGCTGTAGTTCATCAAAGAGAAGCCAATGATACCTCGCTTTTTCAAAATGCATCTTGTTTCCAGATGACTTCAAACTTTTTGGAGAAATCTGGAAGATCGTGATGTAATATTACTTAGAAGAAGAGCTACTTCTGTCATCTAGATCTTCTTGAGCAGTTTTTGACTTTTACTTTCCTTGTTTTTTGTTCTTGTTGGTTTGGCAGAAAGGAGTTGGCCAAGGAAGTGGTTGGTTTGTTGACTACGGCTGCTGATGGAGCAAAATCTTTGATTGATGCTAGTGACAGATTGATATTATTCATTGAAATAGCTCGCCTCTTTGGGACTCTTGGTTATCACCGAAAGGCTGCTTTTTTCTCAAGGCAGGTGGCTCAGCTATACTTGCAACAAGAAAATCGGTTGGCTGCTATCAGTTCAATGCAAGTACTGGCAATGACCACACAAGCTTATCGTGTTCAAAGTAGAGCCTCTACTGACCATGCTCTTTATCAGGTGACTCAAAAATTCATATTGTTTTTCATGATGCAACAAACAGATTACATGCAGGGCTTCACTTTGAGTTGCACCCTACAGTCCTGCTCCTTCTGGTTCTTAGGGGGGAAGGACACAAACACGTTGTACTGGCTTTTAAAGAAGCAAAAATCTTTCTACAGTATGGGTTGGGAACTGTTTTTGTTCACATACTTGATCCGATATAATTGGTTGTACAAAGTCTTCATAACTTTTCCAATGAACTGTCTTCTCAGGCTTATGAAACATGCATTTCAAATAATGAATACTTTCTTTGGGCGTGTCAATTGAAGACGGAATATAGATCTGTCACCACCTGCAGTTCCATAATAACTTTGGCGAATGACTGAGAAAACAATTACTCCCTCCATCCCAATTTATGTAACACCCCTTTCCTTTTTAGTCTGTCCCCAAAAAAATGTCATCTTACTATAATTATTAGAAATTTCACTTTAAAATTCTCCATGATTTACAACCACACAAATATCTAAGGATTGTTTTAGACCACAAGTTAAAAAGGTCTTCCTTTTTTTCTTAAACACTGTGCAGCGCCACATAAAATGGGACGGAGGGAGTAATTTATTTTATTCATCAGTAGGAGGTTTCCATGTGAATACAAAGAAAAATCAATGGGAAGTCATTGAATATATGGCAAAAAGGATATAATGTTTTGATTTACTAGCATTGTGTTATGTTGCACCAAAGTATATGGGTAGTGAGAAACTGGACATTCACAGAAATTCTCTTAAAATTGTTTATCGACGGGTTTTGGTTTGTAGTGTTGCTGACGTGATCCTTGAGAGAAAATGTAGTGTCACAGCTATCTACTTGATGGATTAATATTTCCTCAAACATTTAAAATTTCAAATGCCCAAGCATTCAGGATAGAGTGCATAATTTTGTATTTACAAGGAGGGGCACTTAAATTTTGTCTACTGGAATTGGTGTACCTCCTATGGCATATAGCATGACTTGGATCCATAACATAATGGAGATTTGATACTGTCATAAAAACTTCTTGAAAATGCATATCAAGATAGGACGATGCAGTTTCCAAAGGAATTCATGTGGCTTGCTGTGGGAATCTGCAGTTCAGTGCTTCAATTTTGGAGATATTAGACTAGATTAAACTATCATTATCAGTTATGGTATGATTTATAGTGAAAGCTAGAGTCTGTATGCGGATTCATCTTGGCTGTCAGTCATATACATCGGATCAATGGCTTTTTTAGCAGATCTTGTCTGTGCACATTTTAGATTATTTTGGAGTCAAAATACATGCTAAGTGAATGTGTCATGAGCGTCTTTATCATAGTTTCTTTTAACTCACCCTGGTGTCAATAAAAGAGTTAACATTTATTTTCTGTCTCTCTTCATTATATATGAAGGAAAGTGGACAAAATCATGCTGATGGTGGAAAAGCGCATCACAATTGGATAGTATCACTATTTGAATCTCAATGGAGTAGCATTCAAATGGTTGTTCTGAGGGAAATACTTCTATCAGCTGTTCGTGGTGGAGATCCTCTTACTGCATGGAGTGCAGCAGCACGTCTTCTTAGGTCCTATTATCCTCTTATTACACCTGCTGGGCAAAATGGTCTTGCAAGTGCACTTTCAAATGCATCTGAGAGACTTCCCTCAGGAACTCGCTGTGCTGATCCTGCATTGCCTTTTATAAGGTATTGCTTGTAAAGTATAGCAAAGCTTCTTATGTGATGGAGATTCTTATATTTTCTGTTATAGAGTAGTCTGTCTCTTCATAATTAAGCAAAAATTTCAGCTCAGCTGTTTTTTTCATCTTGTCTCAAAGCTGGTAAATTCCCCTCATTTCTAGAGGCAGGGGTACAGGAAGCTGGTGTCTTATTCTTTGGCACGCACTAGCCAGTTGTTACATTGAACTGTATGGTTCCAAATACCCAAGCATCAAAGTAGGAAATAGATTGTTTTGTACACGGAAACCATGTAAATCACCTTGTTCTGCACTTTGTATTTTTTAGATGTTAGATGGCACATTGCCCTATGCCAGATGGGGAAGCTTGGGGTCCTTGTACTATATGTCATTGCTGGTGTCTAATTTTCACAAAATTCTGCTTTTTCCTGTGTTTGATGTAATATGACGTGCAAAAAGAGAAGTTCGTTTAAGTCATGTCACTAAATTGCCAAAGAAGGTTTTTGATTCATTTGTTTATTTGGTGTCAAGAAAATGTTCTCTTTTGTATAGATAGCTGGATTGATACTTGTGTATGATTAATGCTATACCTTCTGTAAAGACGATAACGTTTCAGTGTGACATGAATTAAAATGATTTTAATTGTCAGAAGAAATTGTTTCACTGGCTTGTGTATGTGCTAGACCATTAGCAGTTGATGAAAGATTTAAGTTGTACGCCAGTGATGGACTCATCCTGTGCCCATGTCGAGTAAGGGTAAGTTTGAAAAGCAGACTATCAGGACAGATCAGCTAACCTAATGATCTGTAGCAGCTATTTCCCTCTCCTGGTGGCTATAAGTGGAGAATAGAAACTGAGATGAGATGTATCAATAGAAAATAGGAGCTGAAATATCATCTGAGTTGTGATTCTAGCTTTTATCTTGGTAATGTCAGACTTATGTTTGTCATTTGTGGCCTTTCTGTTATCTCTGATGAAGAAAAGGATGAAACAAATGGTATTTCTATAAAGGATATCTTTTAATAGTCTACATGGATCTTTTGATATTGTTTGCTTTCCTCGATTCCTATTTTGGTTTTCTGTTTGTGGGTTGCTTATGTTGCCCCTCAACTAGATGCTTAGGGTGTGTTCGGTATGATGGAAAATGTTTTCTTGGAAAAGATGTGGGTTTATTACTTATTTTCTTGTGTTCAGTATGCAAGCAAAAAATAATATCCTAAAAGCATTTGTATAGAATCTAGACATATACTATAGGAGGTGAAGGTGGAAGGTAGGGGGTGGGGGTAGGGGTGAAGATGAGGTGTGTTGGAAGGTGAGGAGGACACTATCAATGTGAAATGTCACTTGTGTAACTTGTTTTCCTACTTCCATTAGGGAAGTCATTTTCCTCATTTTAAAGGAACTTATTTTCCTAGAGAAAATATTCTCCAAAAATTTTGACCTACCAAACATGAGAAAATCAGAATATTTTCTGGAAAATATTTTCCTCCATACAGAACACACCGTAGAAGTGTTTGGTTCTCCTCTTGCAGTGTTATATCATCTTTTATTGTGTATGAGACGAGCAAAGGAGGAATAGGTAGAGTAAATGAACTGAGCTTACCAATTCAGAAAGATGTACTGATATGGTAGTTGTCTTTCTTGCTTCATTCTTTTCAGTTTCTAATCCAAGCATCCATGTATATGTAAATTTAGAGTGAGATGTTCTATGTTGAATCAGAAGTATGTTGGCGATGCTGGTATTTCTTCAGGGTTTTTTGTATTAGACACTGCTAACTAGATCTTGCTTGAAAGATACTCAAATTGCCTTTGTAAAGGCTGGTGTAACTTCAGCGTTTATTGTATTGCACATTACTAACTAGATCAGGCTTGAAAGATTCTCAAATTACCTGTTTTTAGTCCAATACATGTATTGACCATATCTTCAGCATATAATTAGGAGTTTACCAATAAGCTCATAAAAATTAGAACAATTCTAACTCCGTCAGGTATGGCCTTATATTATCATAAAAACTATTCTTTTGATGTATTCCTGTAGCTAACATACTATTATTAATGGTGGTAAACTTGCAAAGGATTATTTGGAACTTTTTTCACTAGTCTCCCCAGAAAGCAGTAAATTTAATCTGATTCAATCTTCATAGTTCCCTCAGATTTTACAATTATTAGTTTTGCTGTTTCAGAATGATCTTTCTGCATACTGATACTCTAAATTTTATGGTGTCTACAGTTGCTGGCTTATTTCTTTCTTCAGACTGATACTGTTCTGTGTTTTATGGTGTCTGCAATTGCTGACCTTATCATCAGAGTTTTTTTTTTCTTTTTTCACAAAAGCCTAATTTTCCTCTCCTCAATACATATGCTCCCAGGTTGCATTCTTTTCCACTTCATTCCTCCCAACAGGACATAGTAAAACGTAATCATGGGAGAGATGATTGGTGGGCAGGGTCTGCTCCTTCAGGACCTTTTATTTACACTCCTTTCAGCAAAGGGGAGCCAAGTCAAAGCAGTAAGCAGGAGCTGATTTGGGTTGTGGGTGAAGCAGTACAAGTGTTCGTTGAGTTGGCAAATCCTTGTGGTTTTGATTTGAAGGTGGATAGTATATATCTATCTGTTCATTCTGGAAATTTTGATGCTTTTCCCATCAGTGTTAGTCTGCCTCCTAATTCCTCCAAAGTGATTGCATTATCTGGAATTCCTACTGAAGTAGGTTCATTAAAAATTCCAGGATGCATAGTTCATTGCTTTGGTGTTATCACTGAACATTATTTTAAAGATGTGGATAATCTTCTAGTGGGAGCAGCTCAAGGACTTGTGCTGTCTGACCCTTTCCGCTGTTGTGGGTCACCAAAGTTGAAAAATGTTACGGTTCCAAATATTTCGGTGGTCCCCCCGCTGCCATTGCTTATATCACGTGTTGTGGGTAGTGATGGTGCTATAATTTTATGTGAAGGAGAGATTCGTGAAGTACAGATAAGCGTGGCCAATGCAGGTACAGTTCCAATAGAGCAAGCCCACATCTCATTATCTGGGAAAAATCAAGATTCAATCCAGTTAATTGTTTATGAAACCTTGAAGTCTTCCCTTCCTTTGAAGCCCGGTGCTGAAGTAAGAATACCTGTCACTTTAAAGGCTTGGCAGCTCGGATTTTTGGATCCAGCTGCTGCTCCTGGTAAGAACATATCTGGAAGCACCGGGAGGCAAGTCAAGGATGGATGCAGTCCTGTGCTGCTGATCCACTATGCGGGTGAGCATTCAAATACTGATTGTTGCAGGTTATGTGATAGACTAGGAAAATGAAGCACTGTGAACTTGGGATGCTGCATCCTGGTTCTACGATTTGACATATATCAGTGCAACAAGCTGGGAAAGTCCCTGCTCTCTAGGAGCCCCTCTTGTTTGTGTTGCTTTCCCATCAATTTTGAGGGGTCCTGTTTTTTCTTTGTTTCCATATGACTCAGAATGTACACAATGCATGTGGATTTGGATATGGATGTTGATATGACTATTCTTTTTAATTTTTCTTGCATTGCCACTTGTTTTTGCAATCTGGAAGGGTCAGTCAGGCTGGTGGTGAGCTTCAGCACCAACATGAGAATCATATTTGTTTAGGATGAAAATTGAGAGAGATAAATGTTAGGGATCAAATCAAATATTGGCCACGAAATTGGGAACAAAGATAGAAATTACGCTGTGGGTATACATGGAATATTTTTGCACAATACTAGGAGACAACGTAAAATGATGGAAGTGTAGGATGTCAATTAGTTGGTCACTAATCATGACATGATTACGTGCAGAAGAATTTTAGTTAGAGAACATTGTGCAGCATGGGATGAGATTTTATTTGTTTTGACTTTTCGTTTTGTTTTTGAAATGTATTAGCCTCATGCTTTAGTCAGACATTTGAGGTTCATGATTTAGACTGATGTTTACCTGCCAATTTTTGTTGTTATGATTTATTACTATTTGGATTCTCTAACTGGTTATCAGTAACAGCCTCTCTACCTCATAGGTAGGGGTAAGGCTGCATACTCACCACACTCCCCAGACCCCACTTGTTGGATTTCATGAACATCTAATTGTATTACCTAATGATTTGCTACTCTTGTTGTCCATTAACTCATCCTGGATATTTAGATTCACTAACTGGTGTTTGGGGCTGGGTAGCATAGAATTTCTTCTATATTGACTGATCTACTTCTCTTATCAGGTCCACTTACTTATGCTGGAGGAGATGCATCAACAAATGGATCTATTCCTCCTGGTAGGCGCTTGGTCGTTCCCCTTAATATATGTGTTTCACAGGGATTATCTCTTATGAAGGCCCGTTTGTTATCAATGGAGATCCCTGCTCATGTTGGTGAGGATCATTCAAAAGTTCAAGTGGAAACCAGTTCTGCTGAAGGATCCCCTCGTACTGATAGGTTCATGAAAATTGATCCTTACAGAGGAAGTTGGGGCCTGTGTTTCCTCGAGCTTGAGTTATCCAATCCGACTGATGTTGTCTTTGAGATTGGTGTGTCTGTCAATATGGAGGATTCGAACACTGAGGAGAATCCTGAGTATGATTATCCTAAAACTAGGATTGACAGAGATTACACTGCCAGGGTGCTAATACCATTAGAACATTTTAAGTTGCCGGTTCTTGATGGTACTTTCCTGGTTAAGGAGTCTCAAATGAATGGGACCGCTACTAGAAAATCAAGCTTCTCTGAGAAAAGTAGCAAAGCTGAACTTAATGCTTCCATCAAAAAATTAATTTCTAAAATCAAAGTCAGGTGGCAATCTGGCCGAAACAATTCAGGAGAACTAAACATAAAAGACGCAATACAGGCTGCGCTTCAATCATCCATGATGGATGTATTACTACCTGATCCATTGACCTTTGGGTTTAGGTGTGGCAATAATACTTCGCAAGATTTTGCTGACCTTAATTTGGATGAAGGATCTAATATTCAGGGTGCACGTAAAGGTTCAGTAAGAGCTCATGACACGACACCAGTAGAAGTGCTGGTTCGCAATAATACCAAGGAAATGATTAGAGTCAGTCTTAGCATCACATGCAGAGATATAGCTGGGGAGAACTGCGTCGAGGGTGATAAAGCGACAGTGCTATGGGCAGGTACTAGTCTAAAACGTTACTCGTTTCCATCTCCATTTTCTTGTTAAAATACCTCTGTAATTTTGTATCTGCATGTGTATCATTTAAGCATTTGCTTTTAGAATAATATTTTTTGCTTATGTACCGAACACGAAAAAATAAGCCAGAAACCCACTTATTTTCGTAGAAAACATTTCCCTTCGTACCAAACACATCCTAAGAGAGCAACTATACGCATGATGTGTAATTGAAGACCAAACTTACTCTTGATCTGATATGTGTATTGACCTTTCTTGATCTTTTTTAGGTGTTCTGAATGGTGTCACCATGGAGGTACCTCCATTGAAGGAATATAGACATTCGTTCTCCTTGTATTTCCTGGTTCCAGGTGAGTACACACTATTAGCTGCTGCTGTGATTGATGATGCTAATGAAATGCTCCGAGCCAGAGCAAGAGCTACTTCATGTGATGAGTCCATATTTTGTCGTGGGCCACCGTTCCATATCCGAGTGAATGGGACTATGTGATGTCCTTATTGAAGTGTCCATAGTTTACTAAACCAGGTGAAACTTTCCAGCCTCAACTATTTGTAGAACTTGTTATTTGCACTTGGTATTTCTTGTAATTCCTCCTTATATAGAGTTCCATTTTGTTTAGGAGAAAACTGTATCACTCAGTTTCCAATTGATATTCAATAGGATTCTACAGTGATTTGTAAAGCTGTACTGTTCAATCAAGAGCTGGACATTTATTCCTGCAATTTACAGCTTTATGATTTTGTTGCCTGTGGCTGTGATTGAGTTGCTTTAGCCTTAAAAGTGGATGTTTCTATGATGAACTGTGGACTAGTTGTTTATTTTGTCCTTGTGGAATCGGGTACTAAAGAGTCTACGTGATACCTTGAAATATAAACAAAAGAATTATCCCAAGGGATCTACTGATTGTTTGCTCTCTATACTGCCCATATTATTTTGGCCAGATCCAAGTCTTGAAAAGAGAAATGAGCAGAAGCTTTTTCTTCTTCTATTTGGGTTTCTGCTATCAGCCTTTCCCTGTTAGCTACTTCTTGTTTAGCACCAACTAGGACATTCAAATATGTTTTGATTTTTTATAATTCGTTAACGAGGCATATCCTTTTTCTTATTACTACCTATTCCATTTATTTCTCCATCTACTTAAACTTTCTTTTATTTTGTGGTTTTATCTAGAGTTGCAGACATACTGTCTTCTATTGCAGCACACACATTACCTCTTTCTTTTGCTTCGAATCTCCTTTAATTTATTTATTTTTAGACGTCTTGTGTTCTTTTATTTATTTTCTGATTTTGGCTTGCCAGGTCTTTGTTAATGTTCCTCTGGTTTTTCTCATTTGATTAAAGGTTCTCAATGCTGGTGCTCTCAGATAAAGGTAGTCATTTGATGTTGCTGAGCTCAACTAGTAAATAATTTGATCAATTCAAAGATGCCTAATTTCAAAATCCCAACATGTAAGAAAGATATGTAAACAAACCGCAGCCGTTGAACTTCATTAAGTTCAACAACTTCATTAAGTTCAACAATTGAATCAAACTCTTGACCTGACTGAACACTTATCAAATTTACCAATCCCTTGGTGTTCTTATTTTAACAAAATAACAAACGTGTGACATTTTGATCATTGCATTTTTTCTTGAGGAGAACAAGAATCATTTGTCAAGGTGCCCATCCATGTAGGTGGCATCATTCCAGTCTGTTCATGAACAGTCTTAAACAGTGGTGGCAATGTTTTGTAGATACCAGCAACTTCTTTTAGGGCACTTCCACCACCTGCATTTGACTCAGATCCTCCATTTGTCCAAATGCTGATTTTGGGTTGTAGGCCTCGAATAGCTTCACCGTTAATCTTGGCAAGTTCTTGAAACATCCCACCACTGATCATTAAGTAATCCCTTAGAGCACCATAGTTTCCGCCCAAAGATTCTAAGAGAGTGCGCAAGTATGTGCCTTGAGCTTCTGCTAGAGCTTTAAGTCCTTCTGCTTCCTTCATCTTTGCGTATAAATCTCCATCGATGATCTGTTTACGTCTGTAGAAATCAGCCTCTGCAGTTGCTTTCTGTGCCTCTGCTTCTTTCTCCTTTTCGTAGAGAAATGCTTCTGCTTCTTTTTGTTTCTTGTAGAGCTCCCAATTTGCTTCTTGCACCTTTTAGACCAATGAGGCATTAGAAACTTCAGAGTTACCATTTTTTTGTAAGTTTTAAGCTTTATGTAAAAAGTAACCTAATAATAATTGTATTTAATCTACTTTCATGTTAAACTTGCTTTTTTAGGTCTCAGGCTAGCTTTTGACTTATATGGCGCTTAGGCTTAGCTCATCAAACAAGTGCGCCAAAAGTGGGAGATGGTATCATATTCTCTTATAAGAGAGGCATGCCTGCTTTGAATTATTGTTGATTCTCTTATAATTAAAGATGTTACTTCCTCCATTCCAATTTATGGGGTAAGTTTTTCTTTTTTAAGTCCATTCCAAAAAAGAATGACAACTTCTTAAATTTAGATATAATTTAACTTCAAGCATCTCATAATCCCCTTAATGAGAAGTGTTCAGACTCTTTAAGTTTCAAAAGTCTTATAATCACACTAACGTTATGGTATGTTTATGATCACTTTCAAAAGTCTCCATATTTTTCTTAAACTCTTTGTCTATTCAAACTTTGTCACGAAGCATTGCCAATTTAAGTAGAGGTTAATTATTTTATGTTGTCAAAGGAGTCATGAGTCTAACCTTAGTTTCATACTCAACACTAGCTTTGCTCAAGAACTCAGCCTTAAGTTTCTCTGTCATGGCTAAAGCATTCATCCTCTCTACTTCCTTTTGCAACTCAGCATCTCTCAATGCCACTGCTTTCTCTGCCTCCACCTCTGCCACTTGTGCTTCTTTAGCCCACCCTGCTTTCTTCTTTGCCAACACTGCATTTGCTTCAGCAACTTCTGCTTCTCTCTGGTTTTCAAATACCTTCACTTCTGTCTTCACTTTTATCTCCTCTTTCTTCCCTTCTCCTTCCCTTTGTGTCGATATAATCCTTGTTTCTGCATCGATCTTAGCTGCGTTCTGTAGCGTTTGCCCTAATCTTAGCTTTGCCCCGATCTCCCCTTTCATTCTGGCTTCCGCCACGTCTATTTTAGCTTGGTTTGCAGCTTCCATTTGAGTCTTTTGACCCAAGTAGGAGAAGTACTCATGTCCTGGAACATCTACGAGTTGTTTGACGTTGGCATTGTAGATTAAGAGCCCGAATTGGTTTAGTTCGAGTTGGACTTTCTGGAATACTTCTTGTTTGAACTGTTTGGTTCCTTTGAATATATCTTCCATTGTCATTGATGCAGCAAGAACTCTAGTTTCTCCTTCAATGATACCTTGAAAAAGGGGGATAACCAAATTAATATAGCACCTGGTTTAGCAGTTAATGAAGTGGAGTGAAAACCATGATCAGTGTTGAAATATCAACAACAAAAGAAATGCTAAGTTATATTCTTCCTTCCACCTATGTCTTGGTAGATAGAACCTATACTGATAGGAAATAGCAGGTACGCATTGAAATAGTAGATATGTGCCCAAACTACCCTTATTATCACCATTTCCAAAACGGGGTACATGGCCAAATTTTTCCATCTATAATCTAAAATACTTTAACAAGTGGGGTATAACTTAGTTGGAGAGCTGCCTACATCCTCACCCTAATGATAGGGGTTCGAACCCCATAATATCCCCTTCCCAAAATCCCACCAAGAAAATAGTTGTTGACAAATCGTCTCATATCTATTCTCCATTATTATACTTCATGTTAGAGATCGGGAAAATATACGATAATTTGCTTAATGTTGAGGGTATAAATGACCACAAAGTATAATGGAGGTGTAAAATGAGGAATACTACAAAATCATGGAGGGACTATGGTTCAATTCCCAATAGAGCGAAAAAACAATATTATACAAGTGAATTTTTTCCATCTATCTAATCTTGGCGGGAAAAGTTACTTTGTACTAATATTAGTGGGATATCAGTACATAAGCACCCTGTAAAATAGTCGAGTTGCACGCAAGTTGCTTTAGTCACCACCATTTTTTAACACAAAAAAGAGGGGTGGGGGCATACCTTGAACAAGATCATTGACATGGTTTGAGTATTTGTCATGTGGAGAGATAAGTTTTGCATACTTCAAGAGGCTGGCTTCATCATCAAGTCTAGGACCAACTGTGAAAACAGCTGGAAGAATAAAAGGGAGCTTTTCAGCACTCATAGCTTGGACTTCAAATGTGTAATTCACAGGTGAAACATCAAATTTTGTCCATGATTGTCCTGGAAGTATCCATGCTTTCTTTGTTATATTTATATCATTGATCCCTGCCCCTGTCACCACCAAGTACTCTGATGCTTTTGCAACTCTATACATCTTTTGTTTTTGGACACAACTTCTTTTGGTATTTTGGGTGGATTAGAGGTGGTGGAGGAGGTATCGCTACCAAATAAAACTGGAATTAGCTACGAACTTTGTCACTGATCAGTCGTTGAATCGATCGTAACTAACAATTTTTGACAATATGTGGCTAATTAGTAGTGTATTAGGATGATATTCTAGAGAGTTAATATATATGGAAGTTTACTTTGAATGTGTCAAATATGAACACACCATTGGATGTACATATGACAATGAACTTCTGAAATTGCAAAGTAATGCAAGTAGTATTCTACAAGTTGTACATTAAATATAGTTGTTGGACTTCTAATATAATATACAATTGATTATAGAAAACTGACCAATGACATACCATCAAGTTAACAACTAATTAAAGCGGTATTACAGCTTCATAGCAATTGCCTAATACAATGACTAATGAAAAAGCAGCAACTTCTTACGAGTCAGATAGATTTGGAGCCCGATACTAGGGCTGCTTATTATCAATGTTAGAAAAAAGTGGGAACATGTAGAATTAGTAGCAAGTTTTGGTTGTATTTTTTCAAGGTTAAATATATCAAGATTAATCAAAAAAAATATTATTTTGATAGGTCAATTTCATTTGATGTATAAAAAACTCTATACACTTCTCGTGCACATAATTTAAACTCTAGTAGTATTTCGATAGAATAGTGGAAATTTACCGGTTACCTAAAAATAAGATTAACATAAGCTTCATTTATTTGCAATTAATAAGGTCTTGATCTTAAATCACTAGAGTTCAATCATTGTACAAGTTTTGTAGGCCTGAATGTTATTACTAAGATCTTATCCGTTAAGTATACTTGTTTTTATTTTTATTTTACAACTCATAGATAATTTATTAATAACAAAGTCAAGTTTTATTGAAATGTTTTGTTTAAAATTTTCTTATACCAATCTGCACTCTATCATTATTAACTATCATTATCATCCACAATTACTATTATCGTCAATCACCAAAATCAGTTATCATTATCATTAGTCATACATCGATTTATTGATCACTGCCTACACCCTTTTCCGCTTGACCCAGTCACCTTTTCTTCCCTTGCGTACTTAGAATTACTCTAGTCTTCTTTGGATTAATATGCCTTATTTAATATATTTTTCTCACCTAATTTTTAATTTATTTTTTTTGGACTAAAATTTAAAGTTTCTTCTTTTTTGCCGCCACGGTTTTTGTTTTTCAAATTCAAGATTTGTCCTATTAATTAAAAAAAATGGTCTGAATTTAAGAGGTAACATTTGAAGAAAGGCTAGTGAGGTAATTGAAGACAAAAAATTTGTGCTTTTTTAGACATAAAAAGACATGTCCTAACTATAGTTAAAAAGGAGAAAGTGTTGTTTTTAACATACCTCAGCTTTAACAATATTAGAAGTGGTTCCTTTTTTTTTTCTCCATGCAATTCAAGATATCATTTGCGTTTATGTTAGCGATTTCTAACGTGAATTCGATGGGTTGTCCCTTTCTACAGATTGTGATACATCAACTACACCATGTTTCTTTTTCTGATCATAAAGCCTCTTGATTCCTTTATTTGTCTTTCATAAGTTAGATCCCTCTCTTTCAAATTAAAAAAAAAGGACGAAGAATTATCTAAAGTGGTGAAGATCATACCAAACTTCAGATAAAAAATATTTGATATTTAATCTTATCAATGATACACTTCAAATACGAAGATCTAAAATTGTGTGTGAAGCAATAAATTTATTTTAAATAATTTAACTTTAGATAAAAATGTAAAATTACCTAAATAGTAAATACTAATCTTATTTTATCATAATTTCAAAAATTTCCTATCATTTAAAAAAAAATAAAAAATCTCCTCTCTAATACATCATTCTCCTCCTATGATACATCTTTATCCCCCTTTTGAATACATCCTTCCACTCTCTGATACATTCCTCTCATATGTGTCCAGTTGTCCTATCCTCTCCCCTATGTATCCACATGTCTGCTTATGTATCCGAAAGTCATATAAAAATAATATAATTTTTTTTAACACTATAAAATTTATGTAAATTATCTGAAAATGTAATGACGACCTAAAACAGATATTTATACACTTAGCCCTAATTGAGGTGAATTGGAATGATAGTAGGCCCACATTAGTATCCAAAGTCAAAAAGTTGCCGAATTAGCTGCCCCATCTTTCTAGTCTAGGAGAATGAGCCCCCAACATTTTCCCGCTTTTTTTTGGGAGCCTCACCAAATACCAAAAGCTCTTTGAATTTTTAATCAAGAAAGTTGTCATTCAAAAAAAAAAAAAAAACTTGCAAGGAATTTCTCAAGATGATATGTGTAATTGTGAGCAAAGTTTCTTTTTTATATATATATTTAATAACTAAGAAATTTGGGCTATTCTTTTGGTGTACTTATGTAAGGTTTGCTCTAATATAATAGTTACATAAAAAAAAAATATAAACTACACTAGACAAGCTTCGTGCGATAAACTCTATTAGAAAAGGCATGCAAATGGTATCGAAGCTAGGACTCCCTATAGAGAAATACCTTGCTCAATCAACTTAGTCACCATCGAAGTAGCATTGCGTGCAAAGTTATTCAATTATGAAAGAAAAACAAAATGCCAAATCTTAATTTTAAGAAAGAAAGAAACTAAACAAAATATTTAATACAACCATGTCGGTAACAACAATAACTCCTTTAATTATATATGACAGTTACAACATTAAAATCTCTAACGTATTGATTGCTTAGTGTAACATAACTATACTACCAAAAAAAAGGCTACAATGTGACCTTAGATTTTGATTATGAAACTTAACTTAAATTAATACGTTGAGTTTATTATTATTGATTGTAAATTAAATTGCCCTACAAAAGTACTGATAATTAATAATTTATAGTCCTAAATTAATTTGTTGAGACTATTTTTTTTTCGAATTTAGTAGTGAAAATGGAAAAAGTTATCCAATTCACTCTTCAAAAACCAAACACTAAAGTTTTTTTGTTTTTTGTTTTTAAAGACATTAATAGAGTATATACTTTAAAAAAAATTGTGTGTCTTGTGTTGGGGAGAGGGGGGATGTGTCCCTTACATTCTGGGCACTGGACTTGCATCCCCAGGTTCACTAGTTTCATAGCATGCTTTCAACCTGTTTTATTTTATTTTATTTTGTAAATTTTATTAAATAATAATAAAATAATTATAGGTAATCATTTATATTAAGTGAAATTAGAATTTCTTAAAATAAAATAAAACAGATTACTTTGTATAACATGTTGAAAAATATATTTTTTCCACCCGATGTCAAGTATGCATAATCAACCTTTGAGTAATATGAATCTGTGTTAAGTAAGTAAGACTCATTAAAATGGAAATACCTTCATATAGCAAGATGCTATTTTATATTAGAGCTCGAATTAAGAATGAATGGATCATGTGTATACTCTTCGTCTCAAATTATCTGTCATGTTTATTTTTTACACAGCTCTTAAGAAAATATATAAACTAGAGTAATTTTACCTTTATTTATATCTTATAATATAATCTCTCACTTGTGATATTGAAGTATTTATAGTCTTCAAAACAATTAAGGATAAAATAATTAATTTTATATTTAAACTTGTAAAATGACAAATAATTTGAGTAAAGGCATTTGTTGAAGTGTTAGTGTAAACGCATATGCTTTTATTACAACATGTTTTTGAACAGTTAAAACTCTCATCAGTGAGTATGTACAGAGTACACAACCTTTATTCAAGAAGTTACTTTCCTTTGTTCATTGTTTTTCCAACATTTTGGAAGTCATTAAGGAACAAGAAGAATAATTGACTCACTATAACAATGTTATGTAAATGGCCAATGCTACTTTCTCTTTTAACCATTTTCATCTTTTTCTCTAACTTCACCCATGGAGATGGAGGGGAAGACTCTCATTTTCAACCACCACCTTTATCAGGTAGCTTACTTACCACTTTCTTTTTTACTTTCCATGTTCAAAGTTTTTCTTTTTTTCTTTTTTTGTTGATTAGTAGAGTGTGGTGTCGCTTATCCTTTCGTAGCATTACTTTTGTAGTTTCTTGTTATTCAGATTCTGTTTTATACTTCCGTTACTGTATTGTTTTGTTGTAATTTCTATTTAGAATGTTTTGTCATGTTCTCTATAGTATTTTGTATTTTGTTATAATTTCTTTGTTAAAGAATGATAAAAAGTCTCGCGTGCGTTGTTGATTAATGAGATGGATGGACTCAATATAAATCTTGGGCAATCCTCTTTCTTTTGAACTAACTTTTGGCGTGAGTTAGGCATAAGACCAAATTTCATATGGTAATTAGTGCAAAATCCATCTCACCCAATGTTGGGTCCCCCAAAATCAAAAAATTGACCATGCACTAAATGCTAAAAGAATGACAAAAGTCTCACATTGGTGGTTAATAAGATGGTTGGACTCCTTACAAGGCTTGGCAATCATCCTCCCTTTGAGCTAAGCTTTTGGTGTGTGAGTTAGGCCTAAAACCTAATTTCACATTCTTTATTTCCGTTATTTCCTTTTTCGATCTACTTTGAACTGTTTTTTTCTCGAGTCGAGTGTTTATTGAAAATAACCTATTCTCTTTACCCCAAGTAGGGGCAAGGTCTATGTATGTCATACTACCTCAGACCTCATTTTGTGAGATTACATTGTGTATGTTGTTGTTGTTGCTGATTAAATGGGACAATTTTAGATGAATTTAGGAAGGGAAGAAATGAAGATAATGTGGTATTTTCAAGGCTATTTGCTGAAGGTCCCAATATTGTTGAGGCTCCAGTGCAGAGCTCATCACTTATATTGGCTGCTGAGAGAACATACAGGAAAGACCCTCTCAATGGTTTTAAGAGATATAATGGAGGATGGAACATCGATGACCGCCATTATTGGGCTGTAAGTACTCAAGATTTTACCTTTCTTGTAATGTACTATTTTCATTCGTTTTAATTTGTTTGTCTGGTTTTGACTTAACATAAAGTTTAACAAATTAGTGAAGACTTTTGAATGTTGTAGTCTTCAACTAAATATATGTAGAATGTACCAAAAAAATGCATTAATCTTATGGTCTAAAACATGCTACGTGGAAAGTTGGAATTAATCTTGCGGTCTTAAACATAGTTTTCCTTTGATTGTTGTTCATGCTATAATTTGGTTTCTTGTGCAGTCTGTGACATATACAGCCGTTCCATTCTTTATCACCGCGCTGATCTGGTTTGTGATCTTTGGACTTTGCTTATTGTTCATCTGTATCTGCTCCCGTTGCTGCAAAAGAGAACCTTATGGATACTCTTCGATGGCTTATGCTCTCTCCCTCATATTCCTTGCGCTTTTTACCATTGCTACAATGTATGCTCTCTCTCTCCCTTCTTCTCACAAAATGGATGACTTTCCTTTGTTCACAACCTTAATATCCTCGGAAGATGCAGAGCGTTTTTTCTCTCTTTTGGATTGCTAAATGAATTAATTTCTCATTTATGTGCTTTCTCTTTTGGAGTTTGGTTCTAATTTGATTTTCGATATGCAGCATTGGATGTGTCATATTGTACACAGGCCAAGAGAAGTTCCACAGCAGTACACTAAACACTTTGGATTATGTGGTGCATCAGGCAAATGTCACAGCTGATACTCTCATGAATGTGTCTGTTTATCTAGCAGCTGCCAAACAGCTCGCGGTGGATCGAATTTTGATCCCTGCTAATGTTCAAACAGACATTGATTACGTTCAAACGAAGATCACTTCTTCTGCTAGTACCCTTTCCACTAAAACAGCTGATAATAAGGATGACATAGAACACCTGATAGAATCAGTGTAAGTGAATAGCATTTCAATATTTTAAAATTCAGGGTACTTAACTTACCACTAAATATCCTGAGGCTCTATAAATGCAGGAGAACGGCTCTTATCGTTCTATCTGTTGCTATGCTTGCTTTGACATTTCTTGGATTTGGTAACATTTCCTTGACCATTACACTAAATTATGCATACCTTAGAATTTTGTAGTAAGTTCTTCGTATTTTCCTAATAAATATGCTCTGGTACTGTGTCTTTTCAGTATTCTCAATGTTCGGCATGCAGGTCTTTGTCTACATGTGAGTTAATGCTGTGCGTCACGACATAATTATGTCTCGTGTCTTTCCATTAACTCCTTTCCCACGTACTTCATTCTGTAAGAACGATCTCGTGTTCTATTTGTGCAGCTTGGTTATTTTTGGATGGATTCTCATCACTGGGACATTGATTTTATGTGGCATATTTCTTGTTCTCCACAAGTAAGCTCTTTCAAGTTTTCCACTATTTTTGCTGTTTCACTAAGCTATTGAGAGTTAGTCATGACACCTCTTCTCAGATTAGGCAAGTCTTCGTCTTAAACATTTAGCTTCACCTGGAAACAGAGTTAACTGGTGCTTCCTGATGCCTTCTTTTGGTATCAGTATAACTAAAATGCTGCGTAAGAACCTTTCAGAGTTTGCTGATTGCGTAAACATAAACTAACAGACTCATCCTAGAAGTGATTAACATACACGAATATTCGAATATTGTCCTCTATAGAGAGTTTGTGTGTTTATTCTTGTTCAACAGTCTCAAGAGGCATGTTGTAATTACTTATATTGTCTCCTGGGATACTGTCGTGTCGAACCCTAATCCTGGGATACTGTCGTGTCGAACCCTATACAGAAATTAACAGGGAGGACAGCATGATGTTAAACAGTGATGGTTTAATAGGTTTTTGTTATAGAAGGTTAAGAACAATCAAGTAGTTGATTAATGAGTCCTTTCGATATCATGCATTTGGACATCCCTAATCGTTCTTTGTTTAGCGTTTCAGTGTGACTGCAGACACTTGTGTAGCAATGGATGAGTGGATCCAAAACCCCACAGCTCATACAGCTTTAGATGACATATTGCCTTGTGTGGACTATGACACAGCACAAGAGACTCTTACTAAAAGCAAGGAAGTGACTTATAACCTGGTCGATATTGTCAACCAGGTTATTACAAATGTCTCTAACATCAATTTCTCTCCCAACTTTGCTCCTTTTTACTACAATCAATCAGGACCTGTGTTGCCAATACTTTGCAATCTGTTTAATCCTGACTTAACTTCTCACAACTGTGGTCCTGCTGAAGTGGACTTAAACAATGCAACTCAGGTATAACCCGCTATCAGATTGAATTGCATTGATAGTGTAAAATTTCTTTATACTGTCAGTGTATATAACGTAAACTCAATTTTTGCTCTGTGAAGGTTTTGAACAGCTATGTTTGTCAAGTTTCTCCGAGTGGTGTTTGTGTCACGCCAGGCCGTCTGACTCCAACACTCTACAGCCAGATGGCTGCTGCTGTAAACATGAGCTATGGATTGTATCAATATGGTCCATTCCTGGTTGACCTGCAAAATTGTGATTTTGTTAGGCAAACTTTTGGTGACATATATAACGTACATTGTCCTGGTCTGCTGCAATACAGCAAAAGAGTGTATGTTGGGCTAGTGATGGTAACTGTTGCAGTGTTACTTTCTCTTACATTCTGGATAATATACGCGAGAGAGAGGCGCCACCGCGTCTATAAGAAAGAACATATGTCCAAACTTGATGAAGGAATTGAAGTTGAAGGGGATAAAATTATTCATGAAGAGTAAAGTAATCTGTTTCATTTTGTGCAATAGTACTAGCTGAGAGATGTATTGTTATTGTTGTAACTTGTATTGGTTTTTTTTGTATATACTGAATCACTTGTGGCAGTTCAAAGAGCCTATGGTGTATTAATTGTTGAGGTTCCCAAAAAGTTTGAGGGATTGAACCATCAATGTGTTGAACTTAGCAAATATTGTATTTTGATGTTAGTGAACCAACCATGATTCTCATAGAGGCGGATTCAAAATTTCAAGTTTAACTATGTTGAATCATGATATTTTTTGCTTTTGGATTCAGGATATATTTATACATTAACACAAATATAGAATTTGAGTCAAAACTGTTGAGTTCTGACAAATTCGTAACTCGGATAGTAAATTTGCTTAAATCTTAAAATCAATATTATTCTTCTTTTAGGTGACTTAATGGTCATTGAAATGGATATAAATCTTAGAGATTGGGTTCATATTTCAATAGAGACAACAAACGATAGGTGATCTCTTCTCATCTATCTATCTAAGCTTTGATGGACAGAATTAGTTGTAACATATATTATTAGCAGGTACTCGATGAAATAATTTGGATATGCACGACTCTGGCATTTCTTGGTAGTGTTAGGTTCTATACTTCTATTTAAGGGAAAATTAGCAAACTAGTCACAATCCCTAACTTAATTTGTAAAAACATCTACACTTTAAAATAATTATTTAAAACGTCAAAATGTCAATATTTTAGAAAATAATTTGTATCTAAATACTATTACTTGTCTTTCCTTTTATTTCTCAAAACAGTCCAACATGAAATACATCCACTATTCATTTACACTTCTTCCTAGGCTTTAATACGATTAAATTTATTTTCCATCTTTCACGTTTTCAAATTTTTTTCTCTTTCATCAACTTTTCAGTTTTCACCATCCCCATCATTCCCGTTTTTTCATTTTTTTCTCTTTCATCAAATTTTCACCATTATTCTCTCCCTCATTGTTGAAGAAGAACTAATTATTCAAGTTCATACCAATTTGTTCAGATCTATCAATTAATTCAAGAAATCTCTCAATTGATAAAGGTATTTTCGAAGTCGTCATTTATTTTGCGAGATTTCATGAGATTTTGTTTTCAAAATCACAAATTATGTTGAATTTTGGATTGTATGTATTACGGATCTCCGTCTTTTTATTTTAATTTTTATGTGAGTTTGTTAACATACTCATAAAATATTTATGCATTTTGGATTTTTAGTATTTTAAACACTATTGTTCGATTTTTTTGTGATATTGTCTACATATTTGAGATTTAGTAGATTGTAATTTGTAGTAATCTAAATTAGCATTCATACATAATATATTGTTTGATTTTTTTATATATTCATATTTAATAATTTCAAATTTTGCTTATAGGATTACTAATGCACAAGTGAATACAGATTCAGATTTGGGTTTGGTGAAAAATATCGGAAAAAAGGAACATAGCAGACGAAGAAGAAAGAGAGAGTCAGAGAAGAAGGTTGCAAAATTGTATTCATAACAGAATAGTATTCATATTAATTTTTGTTTGTCAATTGTTTTTCTTTTACTCATCATTGTATTTTTATTAAGAACATTGTATTTCTTTTTTAGTTTGTAGTCATTCAAATAGGTATGTCAAATGGATTTTTATTTTTAAGCATAGATGTATCCTATTTTTTAACAATCAATTTGTATTTTTTTTTTTTAGAATATTGTATCCTTCCTCAACATACTGTATTATTTTCACTATGTATGCTATTTGTTTTCCAGAATCTTGTATCCCTATTTCTTTCATAGTCAATTTGTATTTATTTTTTTAGAATATTATATCCGTCCTTAACAGATTGTATTATTTCCACCACGTATGCTATTTTTTTTTTTCAGAATCTTGTATCCTTTCATATATCATATTCATATGTAATGATTAGATTATGTTGAAATACAATTAGTAATATTTTTGTAATACAAATAAAAGAAATATATATTTGGCAAACAAGTACTCCCTCCTTCCCATTTTATATGAGGTACTTTGACTCGGCACGAAGTTTAAGAAAGAAAGGAAGACTTTTAAAACTTGTGGTCCAAAATGAATGATATAAATTTGTGTGACTGTAAATCATTTCATTAAGGGTAAAATAAATATTTTATAGTTAGATTGTTACTTTATATAGAAATGTGTCATTCTTTTTGGGACTGACTAAAAAGGAAAGTGAGTCATATAAATTGGGACAGAGGGAGTAATACAATTTTGATCAATGAAATACAATTTGTAATTTTCACTATGAAAGTAAAAGAAATCAATTTTAATTTGAATGGTAAAGTGAGCACATAAAATGTAAAAATTATTGGTATACAATTATAATGAAAACATAATAAAAAGGAAAATTTATCCAATTGAATGAAAAAGAGAATTTTTTTGAAATTGTAATTGATGAGAATTTTAAGTGATATGTTCCTTTTTAAAAAAAAATATTATCTCCCTTGATTTTCTCCTTTCTAAATAATTGTAATCTTAAAAATTAAACAAATAAAAAAATACATAAATCAAATACATAATTATCTAAAATATTGACATTTTAGATAATTATTAAAAGTGTGACTAAGAAAACCCATTAAATATCAAAATATTGACATTTTGAAAATTTTTCCATTCACTTAATTACTATGTTCTTTTTGTGGCTAACTATAGTTTGATGGCCAAAATGTCAGAGTCAAAGACAATGTTGTACTGGTTGGGCTAAAATAGGTTTTCATTGAAAATTCTGCTTTGAAGGAAAAGTCAATAGTCATAAAGAATAGGTGTTAGATAACTTACTTATTTTACTCATTCTACAAATGTTGCATAAACTATCTTATTATGAAAGAAAGAAAAAACTTCATTGAATATTTACAAAATAAAATGTTTTAACCGCTTTAATAGCATAATTAAAATCTTAGTAAAGCAGTACCCTCCAAATTTTGGCTCGTTAACATTATCATAGGATTTAATTTATATATATGGCATAAACTATATTCTCTCTGAATAAACATATATCTTATAAGTACTTAAAGACAACAACACGCATTACTCAGTGTAATCCTATAAATTGTGCAAGAGTAGGAAGGTGTGTGTACAGTTTTTACTTTATCTTATGATATGAAGATAGAAAATATGTTTTCGATAGACTCTCGGCTCAAATCAGCTAACTACAAGAAAACATCTTATTTGTAATATGATATTCCATCTTGACACATGTCCTAATCTTATTTGAATCACTTGTGTATCACACAATTACAATTTCAAATCCAATCCCCACCTAAAAGTTGGTTGATAAAAAAAATAAATGATAGAAGTATGATCATAACTCATAGGATATAATTTATATTACCTTAAACAAGTTGGTGTAGAGAATAATCTAATTGACATGATTTTTAACCAATAAACAAGCGTTTAGAAGCTTCTTTTATACTCTATGTTATTTAAAAACTTAATTAAGTCTTAGAAGTGGAGCTATTCCTTGTTGACTACTCTTCATTTAAAAGCAACCCCAATAAGTATTTTAATTTAAAAGGAATAGGATAGTTACTTTTCGAGGAGTACTTACGTTAGTTTAATGCCACATAATTATCTCACTAATCAGATCATGATATAGACTGTCTAATCAAATTTTTAAAACACTAGAGAAAATGTTTATTTTTAAAAAGTGACCATCGATAATCATCAACAACAACATAACGTTACTAACAAGATAAGAAAATAAAAAGAAAATTCTTGAAGAATTTTATAAAGCAACCCTAGTGTGTCCCAAAGGGTGGTTTTATAAGGTCAACACCAATATAATTTGAATAACATTATTGTTCTTATCATCAAAGAACCAAATGACCTAATTATTGCAACTTCTTTTTGATCGTTACCATGAATATAATTTTTGCCTGTGGTCCTTTTTCATGATGACTATTTAGTAATTGACTTATTTTTGTTTTAGTTTTTTAATATAATTTATGAACCTTTTATACTGTTGTCTAAATATGCCTTTCAAACAAATAAAAAGACATAACATTATATTAGATCATGCTCTACAAATTTTAAACATGATACTTTCTGACATTAATTTCTGCCAAAAACCTCAAGAAGTAAAAAAGGAAACAATGAGAAAGAAAAATAAAATTATAAAAGGTCAAACTAACTATTTTCAGCTTGAATCGTGTATAGATATAAAAACAATTATTCCCTCGGTCCCTTTTTATTTGTCAAATTTTGACTAGACATACCTATTAAGAAAACAATGATTGATATAAGAAATTTATAATTTTATCCCTATTAATTGATAGAGTGTTAAACATATTTACTCGCTATATTTTTCAAAAATATTAACTCAATAATAAGTTGAGGATATAATAGGAAGGAAAAAAAATTTCCTTCCTGATTTGTCAAAAATGACAATTAAAAAAGGAAAATCAAATTAGAAAATATTTGACAAGTAAATAGAGATCGAAGGAGTAATAAAAAATAATGTGTACTTTGGTTGGGGGGGAATTTTTTTTAAAAAATTATGGAAAAAAAATCTCTACGCTTTATTAAAATCGTCTCTTAGACGAAAATTACTTCTTTTTTTTTTTGTTCTTTTTTTAAAAACATTTTTTAAGGAATTTTCTTAACCCATAAACCATTATAACTTTAGCGTTTGAAGCAGAAGCAACTCTTCTTATCTAAAACACCCTATATGTCATTATTTTTGTGTAAAGTTAATTTTGAAAAATTAAATTATCATTTATTAAATAGCATGACTTGGATAACCACAAGATAATCCAAGCAACCACTAGCAACCAAATTTATATCTGCCGAATACATTGGTTTAATCTCAATATCAACACTTAATTGCTTTGATGATCTTATCCTCTCTGTCTCTGACTTTAATTCCATGTAGAAAAGGACAACTTAAGAGTTTTTGGATTTAAACTCTGAAAAATAAGAACTTTATGATAAAGAGCCTTTAAATATCATATATGACATGAATA